CTTCATCAAAATTTCCATGCAACCAGATTTCAGTCATCACGCCAAGTTGTCCATGCACACTAATCAGAGAAGCAAGAATGCTCCCAATGCTCCTTTAACTCTGGATCACACTAAAATTTCATCATTTGTCTCCGTGCCATCATCCACTCGCAGCAGTCCCACTAGCATGCCTTCTTCACGACTAGTGGACTTCTATATGCACCTTACTGAGCACGCTCCACAAGTTAGTCTCTCGATCAATATCGATGTTGCTCTCTTGCATCCAGGCTGGAAGAGCGCAATGGATGACGAACTAGCTTCAATTTTTAAAAATGAGATCTAGGATTTAGTTCCCCTACCTTCTAATTGCAAGTACCTCACCACGAAGTGGTATATCGGATCAAAACGAACGTTGATGGCTCGACTGCAAAGCTCAATGCAAGACTCGTCGCTAGGAGTTTTCAACAAAAACATGTACAAGATTACACATAAACATTTGCTCTAGTGGTCAAATGAAACACTCTCCGGATTGACGTGGTGCTAGCGCTAGCAGGACTTCACGGCTGGAATATATTCCACTTGGAAGTTAAAACAACGTTCCTTAACGACATTATCAAAAAGATATCTACGTCAACCCACCCTCCAATTTTGATGCCTTAGTCAAGCTTGGCTATGCATGCAAGTTGCAGAAGGCTCTGTATGGTCTTAAGCAGGCGCCACGAACCTAGTACACGAAGGTGGATGCGTATCTACTGAGGTAGGGACTTAAAAAATCTCAAGCTGATTACAACCTTTACTTCCACCTCGATCAAGGTAAAATCACTCTACTACTACTATACATTGATGACATATATCTAACCGATGACAATGATGCCCACATAACGATCAAGATAAAATCAATTTGCTACTACTATACATTGATAACGTATATCTAACATGTGACAATGATGACCATATAACGTTCATCACGAGTGAGATCCAACAAGCCTTCGAGATGTCTGACTTAGAGCTTCTCTCGTACTCACTTGGAATGGAGTTACTATTTTGAGATGTCTGACTTAGGGCTTCTCTCGTATTCACTTGGGATAAAATTCATGTTTTGGCCTGATGGTATCTCCGTCACTCAACAACAATACATTCGTGAGATGCTGACCCAATTTGGATTGGACAAATGCAAACTTGCTTCCATGTCCATGATGGAAAAATTGTGCATGTTGCCTGATATGCAATCTCTTCTAGCCAATTCTACACTGCATCAAAGAATGGTCAAAAAGCTGATCTTCCTCGTTCACACACGAGTCAAAATTGCCTTTGTTGTTAGCATTGTCAGTAGATTTATGATGAGCCCCAAAAGACTTGTGCTCAGGCCGTAAAGTGAATCTATCGCTACCTCCAAGGTACCTCTGATCTTGCACTACTCTACTAACGAGGGGAGAAGACACAATGAGGCAAGGAAGCACACCTGCTACCTCCAAGGTACCTATGATCTTGCACTACTCTACTAACGAGGGGAGAAGACACAATGAGACAAGGAAGCACACCTGCTACCTCCAAGGTACCTCTGATCTTGCATTACTCTACTAACGAGGGGAGAAGACACAATGAGGCAAGGAAGCACACCTGCAAGGGGAGGATACACAACTTTGAGGTTGCACAGATGGCCGACATGCACAATTGGAAGTACACCATTGGCTACGTTTTCTTCCTAGGAGAAACTCCGATTACCCGGAACAGCAGGAAGTAGTTCACCGTGGCTTTGTCTTCCATGGAATCCAAATATATGGCCGTCACTGAAGAAGCCAAGGAAGTTGTCTGGTTGCAACGTCACCTTGGCAAAATTCATGCGCTAGATCTTTAATCTCCCATCATCATTCATAGCGATAACCAGGGAAGCTTGAACTTGGCTCAAAATCTTATCTACCATGGACGAACCAAACACATTTAGGTGCGAAATCATTTCTTCAAAGGAAAAATTGCATCAAGTGAAATTGACCTAGATAATGTTTCAACAAACAAACAACTTGCAGACATATTGACTAAACCTGTAGGCAAAACAGCTTTCAAAAGGCTTAGAGATAATTGTTAGGTCTGATTAGATTAGAAATTTTTGTGAACCAGTACAAATCTCAACCTAATTCGTAATCCTCAGTGCTTTCTTCATAGCTGGGAGGGCACGATTCCTCGTAAACATAGAACAATGGAAGCTCTAAACTCAAGCAAGCAGAGCATCAACTAATCTCTATCTGCCGTAAATTCTCTATTGCGAACGACTTGTAGTATGTAAAAGTCTAACCTTAGTCTCAATCTACTTCTTGCTCTCGTCAATCCAGTCTTCTAAAATGAATATCTAGATCATAACATAAAACTTCACATGGCTACAAATGATATATGGGCTACGAGCATCGTGCACAAGGTACGTCAAGATTCTTCATTCCTGCGTTGCGTTCATAAAGCGATTCCTTGCAGAATTGACCCAACGATGTCGGAACAACAATGACCGCATACGAGCACTCATTAGGAGCGGCCATATTTTTTCTATGACTGATTCATCAGAAAGTAGAGGAAGGAGTTTCCCTCAGCTAGTCAACTCCTGGACAAGATCAATCGAACGATGTTCATCTGCTACATTATGAACTAGAGCTTCAGCGTGCGCATCTTGATCGGAGATTTCACTCGACTTTGTAAGATCACGCACTGTCACTAAATTGAGTAAAGTTTTCCTCAAAGACAAAACAGCAGGCCTAAGAAGTTTTTGGATAAACTGGCAAAAAATCCAAAGAGTCAAAATGAATGTCTGCCACACCGGCAATTCATCGGACACCATCAACTGGAGTATCTCAATCAGTTCCTCATATGTAATAGACATAGTGATTGATTATCACCCAATGCGCTTAGAACAAGCATGTCTAGAGCAAGGAAGGGTGTTGATGATACCAATAGCTCACACCGCTTCTTGGACTGGAGTACAGTACCAGAGGCCTATAGGTAACAGTATCGGTAAACTGTTAAGTGACGTTAAGGAGCATTGCGGCCCACTAAGCCGTTCAGTTAAGGATATCTTAGCTAGCGATGATAGTGGGGTTAGGGCTAGGTTTAGGTTAAATCCACTGTTTTGTACATATGGCCAAGGCCAAAGCTGAAATTTCATTTGTCCTAATCAGTCTAAATTGAACCTCAAGTATCTACAGATGCAGTATTTGAACTTCTTGACAAGATTGTGAATATCTATTGCAGTGATATGCAAGATGTAGCACGTCTGGTTTGGTAAGTTGTAGATATTGTAATAGAATTACAACCAGACAGCGTAGACATCGGAGATTGTGGCTTTGTTGCTCTCGAGATGACCAGTCGTCTTGTTGGACGCATCGATGAAACGTTGAGCAGCAGAGACATTCCTCCATCAAGAAGACGAGTAAACACGCTCAACATAGAGTTTCGGCAGCTCAAATTTGTCCGCATCGTCTTGAGACGCAATCAATCCCAACATGACCTACAACGACATATTGGCCATTAGAGTTTTCTTCAACATCTTGTTGATCGTCGTCCATCAAGATTTGGAGAACATTTTCATGGTGAACGAGAAGCGGATATGAAGACATGTCTCGCACGATGTCGTGACAACAAAGAACTTGCATATGAAGGCAACGTTGCTTGTTTTAATCGTGACATACATGACCTCCTTGATGATCGTGGCGATGGCCTTGATCTTGCATAGGTCCAGAATGAAGTTGTTGCACATGTGCAGATTGCAATCATAAACGACCACAAACTCTTCAGAGTGCAGTTCACGATGCGCCTCGATCATTTGGTTGCAAGAGTCCGAGCAGAATGTAACACACATCCATTCACAAATTATCTTATGAAGCAATTGTGTGCGTTCCTTGCGAATGATGGAAGCAATGTGCAAAGCACTCTCACGATTGAAATTGAGCTAGACGTGCCCTAGAAAGAACGTGCATTTATTGGATATTAACATGACACTCTATATAGAGCATTCCTTGATGTTGGTCGGCGCGTCAATGGACATGGTTGCACTGGTCCATTTGCGGATGACGATAAAGAACTCCCTGGATTCGTCATCGAACGAGGCGTCGAGTACACACCCGCCAATCAACTTTGGCTCGGGCACGGAGTAAACATTGCGCGATAGGATCAAAATTGCCTTCATGTGATCCTGATTGTCGTAAGTGTTGAAAGCTTTCTTGTTTTGATGAAGGTTGAGCGCAAAGTGCTTGTCGAGCTCGCTCCTCTTCTCTGATGTGATCGAATAGGACTCGGCACCGGTCGCTTCACAAAAACCATGTTGGCGCAGGCGCTTTGGACTAGACTGAAGACTGGAAGACTGCTCATTTGAGTTGTCGTCGTGAACGATCGTCTAAGAACAAATATTGCCTCTAGCGTCAAGTGAAGCACCATCAGAACTGTTCAAACGCTGAGGTGCGAGCTGCGGAACAACTTCGGCCGGCAAACACGATTGTGCGATTCGAGGGACCTTGAAACAGCACAAACATCGACACCACAAACACCACTTGACTCGCTGACCCCAAAGCCCTTCTGAAAAAAAGTGCTCGCCAAAACCCGCCCATGAGTGCACTTTCTTGTGTGTCATGAAGGTGCAAACTAGTAAGTGCTATGTGTTCGGGTACACACCTCAAAAACTCGCACAATAATATAAATCAATCTAAGTCTTAGATAACCTTATATAATATTTAAATAAACTTTCTTAATTATTTGTCATAGATAATTCATTCGAATCATACTTAAATCTTTAGACATTTCTTTGCTCTACTTCTGGTCTTATTCAACTGTAAAGATTCTACGCATTGCAGAACTATGAGTCAATCAGAATTACCATCGCAGAGGTTCAGAACGGATGCGCTCCACTCCACTTCAATGACGACGAAGCACGACGAGACGACACGTGGCGGAATGGAAGATCAACGATCTGCTCGCCGGTGGAGCACAAGCCCACGGAGGGGAACTAGGAGCCTCATCTTCGCCTCTCCCCCGCTTCGCCACGCGAGAAAGTACCGTCCACGCCCACGCCCACGCCCACGCCACGCTCCACATCTTCCTGCGCTGTGGGCGAATCCGTCAAATCCGCAGTTTGTCCAAACTTCGAACTGCGAGAAGATTTTCTGTGCTGAATGCAGCGTTCCATTCATGGTTCTGTTGTGAGCTGAGCTGCCAGAGCTGCCAGAGGGAAATTTCGTTTGGCAAAATGCTGCACTGCAAGGTGACTCTGAGTTGTGGCACATTGGGTCTGGGAATTGAGCAGCTGCGGGCAGTGGAGAGCAGCTCATATTGTCGGAGACGGTCGTGGAAGGTGAGATGCTCGAACAGCACAGCTCAGCAGACTACCGTTGTGAAGGAGGACGGGAAGCGCTCGAAGCAGGCGAGAGTGCTCGTGCTGGGAGGAACTGGGCGCGTCGGAGGCTCCACTGCCAGAGCTTTGGCTGCCACTGATCCGGCTGTGCAGATTGTTCTGGCTGGGCGTAATCGGTGAGGAAGTCGATCGCCTGGTTATCTCATTCCGAATTAATTGGATATTTTTGCTTTTGGACTTCATATTGAGCTTCATCAGTTGGAATTTGTGGCGCAATATTTTTAATTAGTAGTGAATGGGGTTGGTGACGTGTGCTAGGGAGAAAGGGGAGGCTTTGGCTAAGGAGCTTGGCGAAGGCACACAGTTTTCTCAATTTGATTTCGAAGACGCGGAGACATTGAAGTCTATTCTGAGTGGTAACTCCTTCCAACTAGTTTCAGTTTTAATACCAATGGGCATCATAATTCGTGGCGTCACTCTGAATTATACGGAATGTGTTATTATCATCTATCATATCGGTGGAGTTACCGTGATCACGTTAAATATGCTCGAGGTTTGGGAGTGGCACACGGATGTTACCAGAATCTCATTAAATTCATCAACTGAAAGATTATTTTAGCAATCATGTTCAACGGATTACATTGTGGCAGAGGTGGATTTGGTCGTCCACGCCGCTGGTCCTTTCCAAAGACGAACCAATTGTAATGTTTTGGAAGCAGCTCTAGCAACCAAGGTTCAACCTCTTCCTTGTTCTTCTCTCAGTTCTTTAAAATCTCTCTTCATTTTTCTCAAACAAGTTGTTCCAATTAGGAAACTATGTATTTTAACTGTGCTCTGGTAACTGTATCTTGGAATTTTGAATAATTGGAATTTCTGTACAACACAATTGAATGCCTCGTTGGCGTCTCCGACCAGCTTAGTCCCGCCGTCAAACATGCACGCAAGTACTGAATCCAACCTTGTAAATCTTATGTAAGCAATTAACGATGGATTCAATGTCCAGACTGCATACATTGATGTCTGCGACGATCAAGACTTTTCAAAACGTGCTAAGGGCTATCACCAACAAGCTATTGATGCCAATGTCCCTGCCATGACGACCACGGGGATCTACCCTGGTGTCAGCAACAGTACGTCCATCAAAATTGGTTCTCAACCAATATTTGGCTTACTCTGTTTTGGAATTTATTAAATGTGGCTTAATATTATTTTGCTTCTCATCGCACTGCTGCTTTTATTTGATACAGTCATGGCAGCAGAGCTTGTTCGACTAAATCAAGAGGCCTCGTCGGAAAGTAAACCTTCACGTATTCGGTATGCTCCTTTCCCCAATAAGAATGAAAGCTTTACCATTCAGGTTGGTGAGTTTAAAGGGTCTCGTTTTCAGGTCCTGAGCGTTGTGGTAATCAGCATTGTCTTCTAATATAACTGGTCTATCCCCAGGCAGACCTTCTGCTTTTAAAGAGTGAACTATATCAGCTGTTTCTGCTGGGATGGTAGATTGCCATATGAGATTCAATCACTGAGAATCTGTTCCAGGTACTCCTACTACACTGCAGGTACAGGTGGGGCAGGTCCCACCATTCTGGCGACAAGCTTTCTTCTGCTCGGAGAAGAGGTTGTAGTGTATCGTGAAGGTAATTACCGTCAGCTTCCAGCTATATGCATAGATGAGGCAGTGGCTTCAGTCACATCTGTCAGGGAGAAGTATAAGGCGGGTTCTGCTAGTCGATGCGTTCCTTCTTCCTTTTACTCCACCACCTTCCAATATACGTCAATGAATTCATCTAAGATTATACACTTTTGGTTCACTACATCACCTTTCAACCTAATTGAATGTAATCATGTACGCTCTTTGATTTCGCCGATGTTTCTGAAAACTCATCATTGGGTTATCACAGGCGAGAAGTTACTGCTGAAAGCTTACAGTGGGGTACGGGATGTGGATTTTGGCAAAGGACTTGGCAAAAAGCCGACCTATCTTCTGTGAGTTCCTGGACATTTTCCATCGTCTGTAATAGTACTCATTCAAACTTGAGCTTAGGAATCTGGGGGAGTGAAAATGTCTTTGCCGTAGGACCTAGCGACAAATATGCTTCTTAATTGACCATCACGTTCCTCTTTACATGGTTACAATAAGCAGTAAGATCAGAACAAACAGAACATTTGCAGACTGTTATAGTTTCAACGACTTCAAATATACCCTGCCTATTTTTTCCACTAATGTAGTGTTGTTGGTGGCAAGCGGTTTCTTCACATTCGGACAATGTCATAAGCTCTGTCCTCTCTATTCAGGCATCGTTAGGACATGCATTAGGCTTCTCAAACGAGATAGATGTCTACTCGTGTAGATACTCTAGATATTCTGAAGTCTTTGGTAGCAGTTGATTAGGATGTCTTCCAGATGTATTACCAGCGGGTGATGGTCCCATTGGCTCCCGTGGATTAGCCATATCTTGCTACCACTCCTCCTTTAGCCTCAGGTGGGCTAACATCACACTTTATTTAGCATTCCCCAAACTAACTCAAAGTTCAACTATATTGCTAACTCCATCCACTCTTCTAAGCAATCTAGCACTCAAGGGTGTTATCAGTACTTGAGGAAATGATTACTGGCAAGGTGTGTACTGGGACCTGTGTTCTAGCAATATATTCACTGCTCATAGTTCAAACTTGAACATGGGTCCCTAAGTTGAAAACCTTTTCTCAAGGAGGCGAATTGCTGCTAGACCTTAGTAGTTACCAATGGGAAAATTTGTGTTAGAGTTGTATAATGTTGTTTGTGAACCGTAACGAGTAAAAGTTAGTAAGTAACGTTCACTCGTTACAATCACTCTTTTACTTCTAAATGTTGAAAGGAACTGACTCCGAGATTCACAATAACGTCAAGTACTTTCACGTCAGATAGTGTCGCGGCATGCTTTGCCCTTCCAGGACTATCCAGTTATATTTAGCGATGGTTGGACGAAGAGAGTTAATTGGATCCTGTTGTTTCTGTACATGCTTCAAACAGCAGAACACACTATCTAAGGGTGGCGTTTAGTCAACCTTTTTAGATATACGAAAGTGGACCTGCGACGGAATGGAATTCTGTTTGTTTTTAGAGAATTCGTATATACCTGTTTGTTCTAATTTTACGATTCTGCACAGCAACCTACCCGAAGTGGCAAGCACTCATGAAGTGCTGGGAGTACCTAGTGTAAGTGCTCGCTTTGGCACAGATCCTGCGCTTTGGAATTGGGGGATGTCTGCAGTTGCCAACTTTGCTCCTGAGGTAAGGAAGCGCCTAATGCTCTTCGTCTGCTGAAACTTGAGTCAGAATCTTTAGGAGATAAGAATCTTCGTCCTTCTGATTATAAAAGCGATCTGGAGTTTTAGAGGTGTAAAACGTATGCCGTACTTTTAAGTCGAATTTATGACCCTGCAAAGTAGCACATAGTCTAAGGCTCCGCTCTTTTGATTCCGTCTCCTCCAAGTTATGAAGTCAATGGATCATATACGACTGATGGAGGTAAAATTTTGCTCTAGACAGATTGTGTTTTCCGATGCACTGTATCAATGTGGACTACTTTTTCTGCAGGGTTTCCTAAAAGACAAGTCCAAAGTGGATGCTTTCGTGCAAATGGTCGATCCGGTTGTGAGAGCATTGGATGGAATTGTCGGTGAGAAGGTGTCAATGCGGGTATGTAAATAGCAATTTTTGGAGATTCTGTACATATCTGACGTTTCAGGTAGTTTGTGTGTTATTGTACACTTTCCGACCGAAAGGGTGTGAGAGCTCTTTGCTCTCAAAATCTCCAGTCTTAATCTACTTCCTACAAGAAAATACTAATTAACTTCTAAACTAAGTTGGTTTTCATATGAGGTCGCAGGTTGATCTAGACTGCACAGATGGAAAAAAAGCTGTTGGCATCTACACTCACAAATACCTCTCCGTGTAAGTAATTATGGCTAGCGACTTCTCACCCGATGATGCTAACGTGAGAAAAGTTGGTGATAAACTCCTTGAGCCTTATTTTTGTCCATGAGTATTGCCATAAAACTATATTTTTGCCTAGAAGTCAAGTTTCAGGTGGAAGGTGAACACATCTGTCTGCCTTCAATTCAAGGCAGTGGCTTGATCTCACATTTAGTTGCTTGTGTGAATGACTGCAGAGCCGTCGGTGTGTCCATCGCAGCATTCGCAAGGGCGGTTTTAGAGGGCAGTACACAACCCGGTGTTTGGTTTCCTGAGGAGGTGAGATTTTCAACGCGGATCCGCCCCGCCACAGGATCCGCTGTGGGGCGGATTCGAGAAAGCTGAGATATATCCACTCCTCTTGCACTTTGATCCAGGCTTTGTGCATCAAAACAACTAGCATGGTTTAGATTTTCCACGTTCACATACAACAAAGCAAGTTTGAGAAAATGGTCCCTGACCATTGACTGAATTGTTTAAGGAAATAATACCCCAGATTCTTAGGAGCGAGTAACAACGCAGTTAAAAAACATTCATTCTGATTTTCCGAAGTCTGTCTCTATCAGTCTGATGTTTGTCGGTCTTAGCCCGTTCCCGCAGACAACTTCTCTGTGCCTTCGGAGAATTATATCCTCTGCTTTTAGTTCAAATTTTGAGTCTATTCCTCTTAACATGTTCTTACCACCATTCAATACTGTCTCTCTTCCTCTTTCAGGAGGGGGGAATTAAAGTCGAAGATAGGGCAAAGCTGCTTGAACGTGCCAGCAAAGGAACAAGCAATTTCATCATGAACAGGTACGTGACTATGAATTATATATATGTTATGTAACGTCCACTAGATCCCGAGGAGATATGGGATAATTGCAGCAATAAGTGCCAAGTTCCATCTCCAGGTGGAACTCCAAATGCACAACACAGGGACACGCATTTCGCTAACATAGATTGGCCGGCTACCTCCAATTTACCAAAATAAGAACCACAGTCAAAGCTGCACTAGCTCCAAAACCAGTCATAGCGATGTGCGTGTAATTGTGTTTGTCATTTGATTGCACCGTTGGACTCTGAGGACTCAGATTTGTTGCTTTGTGTCATGCAGACCACCGTGGATGATAGAGAAAGACCCGAAGGAAATCGGGTTTGGTCTTTACCTTCAATAGGAAGAGAAAGGCGTGAGAAAAGTAGACAAACAAGTTTTTGTTCATCGTTATTGTTTCGAGGGAAGCTTTTGAGCTGCCCACGTAAGACCTCCGGGACAACTATGACCGGAGCCAACAGTCAGGTAGTCATGGTAGAAGATTACATTTCTATGTAGATGTCTTATGAAGGACTTTCGAAATTAGACTTGTCGGCCTCGACACGTAGAGGACATGTATATTACGTTGTAGCAAGACATTCTTCAGTTGTAAAATACTCGTCAATTCAGATCTCCTTGAGCTCAGATCATCCAAGTTTGTCTCCGTGTTAGGGTCCTGTAGTGTACATTGCCACATGGAAAGTGAACCGCTCCAGGTAGTCTTGGGAAACAAAAGCCTTTGCAATCACGGATTTGTGTCCTGTGCACGCACATGGAGAGACCCTTTTGATCCTGTCTGTCGTCGAATTGTTGTTAGCGTGATACGAGTCGACAGTCCGCCAAGCCAACGAAGAGCTTTTGGACGGTTAGACCCTTCTGTATATCTCCCTCCGACCTTCATCTGAAGACGTTAACGATGTCATGTGTGAAGTGGAAAGGGCACATGGTGGGCTGAAACCAGACCAGGTGCTTTCACGACAATCCGATCTCCTTTTTAAAGCTCGTGGGCCGCCTGTTTCTTGATTCCAGCGCAGTTGGTACTTGCGATTACTTCCTTTACTCTGAGTGATTGCATACTCGCCGACAATTCGACATCTGCTAACACAACCCTAAACTCCTTGTTTTGCCGCGATTCATAGTTGAAACGCGGTTGTCTGCAACAACTTTGTGATGGCCTGGACACGAGTTAAATGACACGGTGGAAGAGAGCAGAGCTTAGGAATTCGCGAAGTATCTTGAAGTCTGCAACTGAATTCCAGCAACAAACTTGTCTTGAACTTTTGAGGCTGGTTTGTCCTCGGTCTGGGACAGACTGGGACGCCACACCGCTGATCATCGTCATCTCTTGCATAAATAAATCATCTGAGATGGACCCAGTGTAATGAAATGCGCAGAGCTGTAGTTGACAGAGCAGTGGCATCGGTATCCACAGAGATATCCTCGCACACTTCCCCAGTCGCACAACCAACAACGAGAAACGTAAAGTATTACGCTCACGGCGAAAGGACACCTCGCGTTTTCACCTGGGCCACGTAACACAGCAAGCATCTGCTCGAGTTGCACGTGACGAGATACTACCAGAAAATACACGCACCACCAGGAGGAGGAAAATCCTCTGGGTGCGGAAATCCCAAGGTGGTGATACTCTCGCCAGCATGAAAGTCCGTCACGTTTGACTTCATTACGCGAATTTTCAACTATTTTCATGCTGTCTGTCATATTTTCACAACCACTTGCACATTCCCACACCAGCAAGGAAGAGCCGTTTCCTCAGTCCTCCAATGTGGTGCATAATTTGCAAGAGAGTTGATATCAACTGGAAGTGATATTTACAGCACCGTTCTCCACGACAATCTGTCTCAATCCTCTTCTTGCTTTCCAACCTGCCATGTCAAATCAGGCTTGCTCTGCGGTCTTGACTTTGGAGTTCAGGTTCATGGCCCCCGTTCTCGTTAAGCGGCCCTCCTAAAAGTATTCACCTTCTTACACATCCATTCCGTTGCAGTAAACTTGCAAAGAGAATCTGGCGGTCTGTTCACCTAGATCGATGTTTTCATGAATCGACCCAATCTGACAAGATCGTCCATGGATCTGTTGAACAGTAGAGGCTTCTTCATCGTGCGACGTGGATGCATTGAGTGTGAACAGTCTTCTGGTCCTCTTCATCCGATGTTTGGAATCAGCAATGGTGGGCGATGGATCACTCTTGCTTTGGCTCCATGTTGTGATACGCTCAGGAACTCGCTTTTGATTCACATTCGAGAGACTTATCATGTTTTAATCTTTCCGTTACTTTCTGAGTAAGCTGTTCGGCGTGCGTGTGGAGCAAATGCCATAAAGCATGCCTGTGTAGGTACAAATTATCCCGCAGTTGAGGCTACTTTGAATTGTCACCGAAGAACATATCGATGTACACTAGACTTGAGTTTTCTCTTGCACACTTTTTTCCAATTCCGTGACTTGAATTTGTGAAAACTTTACTGTAGATTAATGATGTGATGATTTCACTGTAAATTCATCCATTTTTTAGACAATTTTTTATTGACATGTACTTACATGTTTATGATAAACTTAAAAGTACAGAAAATAAAAAGTATGTGGGAAAAAGGTTACTTTATATTTACATTGATTAAATTAATGTTAATTAATATTTTATTTAATGTAAATTACATGTAAGTAGTATCATGATACTAGTATCTACACATACACATGAAGACCATGCCACTTCCATTTTGCTTGAAATCTAAGTTTAATAGAATACTATACACCTGCACTATATACAATACCTGCACCCACTCAATATATTTTTATATCAAAACACAAAGACTTCGTAAAGCTTCAATTCTCCAGATCTATAGAAGCCTACTTCCGTATTGACGTCCCGTGGAAAGTTAAGCTGAAACGGACAATTTAGAATTAATTGATTAATCGATTGATAATAAGACAAGTATTAGACTGCACCCATGTATACAATTTTAAAGAGATATTTTACTATATATGAGCATTATATGATATTATATTACAAAACATACATGAAACTATCCATGATACTCAAGATCTTGCTGCTTGCTTGCAACTCTTATCAAGATTTTCAGTATGAGTTAAACCTCTTTACTCTGGTTCGAGGAAGAAGCCAGTGTTTCCTTTTAGAGTAGGTTTGGAAAGAAGATGACTTTAAGTGCAAAATTCAATCCGGCATGAAATTCCCGGAAGATGCGATAGAACGAGAACTATGGAAATATGAGGGGTTTAAAAGGAAGAAAGAGGAGCGAAAAGTAAAATATGCTGTGGCAGATATTAATACTTCTACTGTGCTTCGAGAATCATCAGGTGGTGAGCATGTCTTCACCTAAAAAGCAGCGTGAGGTTCTTTGCGCGGATCCAGTATCATCTTTTTCATGCAGAATTGGGTAGAGGAATCCCAACCGCCAAACAGCCGCAAACGCGAACGCAAAAACGAGGGGAGCCTCGAAGGGAATCATATGGCGGCGTGCGGACAAGCCTAACGGCGTCATGATAGGCAATAAATAAACGAAGAGTGCGAGGGCATGGGCATGGCCCTCTTTAGTGCGGCCCCGAGCCCGAGAGTTGACCGGTCAACAGCCCGGCCCGACATTCCCACTGGGGATATACCATCGTCCCCTCCATGATGAGAAGCCGGGGAGCGCGACGACCCCAAGAGTCGCTGCCCTGGCCTTGCTCTCGCTCTCCGGAGTCTTATAATGGCCCCTCGGCTCCCGGTTCAAGGTTCCGGTATCAGTTACGGACTCACGCTGAAAACACTCTAGATCTTTAAACCTCCCGGTAGATCGACCTGCGACACCCAGTGGGTGAGGACGTTAGGCGAGCATCTGACTGGCTCCGCTTAAGGCGGAGCGAGCCCTGACACTCCTCGAGATCACGGGCGTGGGACCGGAGCCCGAGATGGTCATTCGGAAAGACGGAGTGAAGAAGGAAGCTCTCGACGCCGGTGGAAGAAGAAAGTGCGAAACGGTTCACGGTCAGCCCCACAAACGGACGGACGGATCACATGGGGATCAGGGAAGATAATGGCGGTTTGATTAGAACCTGGACTCCGGCCTCTGCTTAGCGAAGGCATGATTCAATTAAAGGAGCCTTCGTTTTATGGCCGGGCGGCGCGGCCTCGAGTTTGTTAGAGCTGTGCGGAATTTGGCTATTAATAGCTCGGGGCCTGACTCCAGTCGAGCCCCGCTGAAATGCAATTGAATATGCGCATTGTAGGCTCGAACGCTTGCACATCTGCTCATAAATTGTACAGGTTTTTATTTGTTTCTGTTTCTGGTTTCGATCGCGAGCCGAGCAGGATGCAGATTGGGGTAGGCGCCTTCATGAACCCTGACGTATGTGAGATCCGACTCGGTTGTTGCGCACAGCTGGATGATTTCTCGGACCCGGGCATTGAAAGCCATGGGAACGACCTCCTTACGTCTTGGAAACGATGAGAATTGATTGACGAAGGCCGAAGAGAAGGGATGAGTCGAGTCTAGGAGGAACCACGATTTGCGGCCTCAAAGCGCTGGGTGCTCAAATCGGAGAGAATGTTAAATGATTGACGAGCAGGCTAAGAATAAGATGGAAGAGTTAGATTTCAGGCGCCATGGAACGTCTAAATTTGACCACGAAAGTGAATGTGCTCAGAGGTTCGTTGCCAGAAAATACTCTAAATTTGACATGCGGAGTGAATGAGTGGCAGACTTCGATGCCACAAAATCTCTTATTTTGACACCCAGATGACGAGTCCGCTTCAAAATTCGTTAAAGCGAGTGTGAGTTCTCCCTCCAGCATCAACCAGATATGCTTCTCACACGGTGTTGTGGAAGCTCAGGAAGTTCTCAAAAGAGATAGAGAGATTCGAGGTAGTGATTAGGGTCTGCCAAAAGTATCGATACTGTCGTCTGAGGACTGCGTACTTTATCCTGTCATAACCATCGGGGAAGAGTTCGCTACAATCGATAAGATGCCGTCCCCTCGATAGCTTTCCGCCACGCGGTGCTTGTATACTGGGACTCTATTCGTCTGTGTCTCAACGGCGCTCACAATCTCCAGCATGTGGCCTTTCCTGCGCTACGCCGCTGACAGTTGTTTCCCGTCTGAGGAGGCTCCGTTGTGGACTCGAAGGACGGGGTGCTGTGAGGAGGGCTGAGGAGCCTGTTGTCTCATTTGCACCGATTGATTTCATAATTATTGCAGTATTGTGTTGTATTCAAGCAATCATCTCATGACATTCCATCCTGAGAGCTGACCGAGAAGGTGCATCGACCAAGTTGATGATCATCGTGCACTCCAGATATTGGGTCCGCTGTCCGGATCGACGACGGATTGTGTATCCTTGTGATCTTACGCTCATCGCACTCGATTCCACTCTTTGCTCAAAAACCGGAACCCAAAAGTGTGTCACTGGAAAAGTCAGATTATGGAAGGAGAAAACTCTAAAACAGATCTAGCAGATACTCAGTAGACGTTCGAAGATAACTGCTCTCATGCACAGCACGCGGAGACGAATACGGCCAATGTCGGGTATTTGTTACTCAGGTCTCATGCAAAAGGACAATTTTTTTCAAATCGGGAGGCTCTCCTGCACTTTTATCCACGTTTTGGCCTTGAAGATACCTTGCCGTTCTTCTTCCACGAGAACGCATATGCTCCAACAAAGACAAACACACGCTGGTACAAACGAGAGAAAACCGGTGCCAAATGCCAAGGACGAGAAGAGACCAGAAGCCATGTAGTTAGGAGTAGGTGTTGTGACCAAGAAACAAAGGTGCTCCCTTCATGGCTAGCAATGGAAAGCAAGGCAAGGCAAAGCAGAGCAAAATCATGATGATCTCCTCGAGACACTCGAGGTGGTGGAGTGAGGACTTGCTCGTAACCCCGAGATTTAGTTCGTGGGTCCCACTGTTTTGTGCAAGCAGGCAATCACACTGAAGAGTTTGGCCCTTAAACAACTCGAAGTAGAAAAAGGGGACTGGTACTCGAGGACCCTGGCAGGTTATATATACAAGTGTATCAATCGGGCACACTTTTCAAAAGTTTCTGTTACTCTACAAAATTCTACATGTACTCTAATACAGTATTGCAGAAGCTTTTGAAAATTAGCAGGGAAGTATTCATGCCATATGTGCACCAAGAATATACTCTACATATTGACATATGATCACATAAGTATATTCTCTGCTTCTTTCCAACTTTGAATTTGAGCTTTTGCAGTACACTTCTATCTCGGAAACTGCAGAGTCAGAACTTGATTCCTCCCTAGTCAAATTTGCCACACATTATTATCAATTATTTCTTAGGATTGTTTTATTTTATTGAAGCACACCTTACTTTTGGTGGTCAACTAGGGCTATTTGACGCAAGTCAAACATTTCTGAGTAGATACCACGTAGAGGAAATCAAACAAATAAAGTAGAGTTCTTCGCTATTGGTTAAATTCCCTGGCGTGTCAGGACAGAAATTTTGGTGAGGGCAACGAATAAAGTGGGCGTATACTGCCATAGGATAGAACTTCGGACCTTTATATGAATTTGTAACTCGCAGAAAAGAAACACCAGACTTTTTGCACATGATGCATGCATCGCAGGGAAAATATAAGATGAACAATCTGAATCAGTAGCCAAAAAAAGTCTATTTTTTAAATTTTCGGCATGGAACCACCTCGCGTTTGTAAAGTTTAAAAGATCGTCATGTTCTGAACAAATTATTTTTATTGCAGCTCGAGAATTGAGAGGATTGATCAGTGGATTCGAAGGCTGCGCTTTTTTGCGTAGTGTGGAATAGAGGACTCAATGTGCTGCTCGCTGGGTGCAAGCTACTGGACTACGACTATCATGAACTTGCAGAATCATGAACTTGTAGAACATTATTGAAATCACAATAATGTGAATGATCATTTTTAAGGGCAACGTTTTATATGAGTAAGGTACAGTAATATGATAAAGTAATTGACATAGTCATATATTTCCGTGGAAGTATATAGTCTTAACTGCTTAGTGGAGATGATTAAGGATGTAAATCAGTGTCGTTGCACACAGGCATGAAAGTGAGAAAAAAAACTGCTAGTGCACTTGATTAGTACGAATCGACCTACAACTGGTAAATATTCTGCTGCCCGATTCCATCTGTAAAGACTAATCTGAAACGCAGAGGTGCCTGCTGTAGTCCAAAAAGCATAGACCAATGCTTGATGCGTTTGCATACCAAGATGGGTGCATCTGTCTCGTCTGACGCGCTGAAGCATAAGCCTAATCTATTGAGTTCGTAGTCATCTTGCATCGCTTTAAAATATCGCAACGTTTAAATATGTTTGTTTGCTTGCAGCAATTGGGTATTCTCGTTTCATATCGAACACAAGATTTGTCTGACAAAGAGGGCCGAGGTGCTATATCAAAGTGCTAAAATAATGATATAACATAGTATACAAGGGCGAGATCGATCTGCGGTGAGCAGAGTTCATACTGCACCTTAGTTTTCGGTAGCTTCAGTCGCCTCTGCTGACGTAGGTTGAACTAGAGCGCGGTGTAGGATTCAGCCAGGGCATACAAGGATCTAAAAGGCGACGAGGTAGATTAGTAGGCATTGTGGCGCAGTAGACATGATTGTACATTTGTAAGGAGGTTGCTGCTGCTTCCGGCGAAGCAGCAGCAGGCGACTACGGCGGTTGTCATGCTCGTACCGTTGTTCTTCCGACGAGAGCAGCCGGTGTGACATATACTTCCTCGTGCGTACAAACGTCTGTATCTTTCTTTCGTACCCGCATCAGTTGAAAAGGGTAACGTGTACTTGCTGACAGATTTGGGCTGGGTCAGGCTGGGCTGTCTGTACTCCGAGGAGGATGGAAGGCGGATGGAGATTACGGGACAGGCTTGGAGTTTCCAAGGCGTACCGACTGAAGCACAACAACGCTATCGCATGCAGCAGTGGCTCCAAGCATCGTAGCCAGCTGGCTCTCAGCCACACGATATGCAGCACGAAGATCCGATGGCGCTCGAATTCACCAGGCATCTGTAAGCTGTGCTATTCGAAATCGCGGTTCATCACATGCGAATTGACTATTCCGTTTCTCTACTTATGCCATTCACACATGGCTTTCTGGGCGCTCATGAAGACATGGGCCCAGATGGGCTGCATGAAAATCGCAAAAACCTTCTACGTTCGACGTGACACAGAGCTTTGACGATGGAAAGCAACAGCGATAATTTTCGAGATGTATACACAAGCCGATGGACAAGGTCCTGCCCGAAAATGTGATACTTGACGCGAGGCTATACGTGATAGATCTTGCATACGGATAGCACCAGGCTGTTTGTCTCAGGTCTACGGCAGTGGCCGGAACCTCAGCCGGCCGTCACGGCAACTTCATACTCCCTACAATTAGAGCCAGACAGCGCGGGGATCAAATAACCAGTATCACTTTAGCAAGAAGCAATCCAACGTGACATTGGGCTTAATACCGGGTGCTTCAGCTTCTCTGTTTGAGAAACCAATGTCTGGGTGGGGATAATAAGTGAGTTTTGTACCAGTGCTTTTGTATATTCCAAACACTCGAGAGCCAAGCAGTTGTACATCGAAGGGTCAACAATGGGATAAGGACGTGAGAGGTGCACGGCACTTGCATATCATCAAAAGCTCCTCGTACAAGGAAGAACCACAGCAAGTGCAACTCACGACAATGTGATCAGATCTCTTCGCAGATGTCTGTGTATACGATGGACAACGTTCAGTGGAGTATATGGCAAAAATTCGTAACGCCCATTGTAGATAATCGCAACGATGCAGGAACGACAGAAGCTGACAAAACGAGGAGAGCGTGGCCGACTTTCCCCACAGGCACTGCGTGTGCCCCGAACCATGTATAGTCAGCCTCTCACTGCTAAGCGGATAAATGAACCAGAACGAGATTCGACTTTTCGGTAGCAATCTAGGAGGACAAACGGCAGCTTATCAACAATTTGGCAGGACTAAATCTTTATCATTACCAGCATTGGTACTGAATGTACTCGCGATAGAGGCCTAGGGGTCTAAACGGTACCGCAGATTCACACACTGTACTGGAGACTCGGAACTACTTCGCTATTCTGACATTGGTGCAGTCCGAGCCACTGGAAGACGTACAAACGATCATGTGAGGAAATCAGCGACATCGTCCACAAGAAGATCAGGGAATGCCGCGATAAGAACAACAATACTTCACGACCTTCATCATTGCAGCGATCAATAATAGCCGTTCGCCGCTATTACGTTTGAAGGAGTAGTATCGACACAATTAGAAAACGCTCAGCTCAAACACAATTTCACATGAGGCTAAATATGAAAAGTCCCGCAATCCCTTCATTTCCGAAAATAGTGATTGATTAGTTGACATTATTTGAAGAAAAAAACTGCCAACAAAAGAGGCGCAGTAGACTCCTACCTCGAAGAGTTTACGACCATTCTACTCTCGGGCCATACGACTCAAGATACGATCTAGTCAACTAGTCTGCCAATCAATGATCCTCAGATCTCTCTAGGGCCTCCATTGGTCTACAGCAAACTTCAAATCTTCGCAAAAAAGAATATATTTTACTTCTAGCCAGCATCCTGTGGCACATACAGAACCCATATGGATCCACGTTTATCAGATGAGTTGCAAGCTAGGTCTGGCCAGTGTGAATCAGATAGATAGACTATAGTTACCGACGCTTGCTATTGACCAAGTTGGTACACTGACACCAGTTCATCGCGTCTCTCATTGAGGTTCTATCCATCTTATCGTCTCGGCGGATCTGCACCCAGGTGAAGACCAAGAGACGCTAACAAGTGGCACGCAGCTGACAGCGTAATCTTACTCACATATCGACAGCGAAAGTAAGACACTCCACGGGTATTTGGATACCCTACTGAGAAAAGCAAGACCGATTACAATGCATGCTCCACTAACAGAAATAAACTTGAGCTTAGCTTCAAGACGACGAAACGCTAGCCAGTAAACAAACAGCACAAAGTCAAGACTGCCTGAAGACGTGTTACCAACCTTAAAGATCAGAGTTTTGAGGCAAGTCTGCAGTATGCTCAATACGTAACGACAGTTTTTAACCAAGCTAGTAGTGTCGAGCGTCTAAGCAGAGCTGTACCTGCTAAACAATGATCGCATCAAACAGGTAATTAAGAATGCAAAACAGGCGGTCTACATGTCGTAGAGCGTGGAGTAAGTCCACGTCCACATTCCACGACTACTGCATTACCCACACCTGTGTTCAAACACAAAGCGCAGATCGTATTTACTGAAATTTCGCGCTTCTTCCCACCACCGGCATATGGGAAGCGATGGTCAACCCCAAAGTACACAAGGGTCCGTGAACTGCACGCCAAGTTCTCTACTGAATAGACGGAAACTCTCCCGAGATGCTCCACCTTGCTGTAAGTGATCTTGAGAGCTTAGCCTGCCATCGGGTAATATCGCAAGTAGCAATCACCAGCCGGTACCTCCCAGCTCTCACTGGACATGTATCAAGTACAGACGCTGCGAACTTGGTTTGACGTCGTAGTCCAACTTGATGAGCACCTTCCGTGGCCCATGGTCCATGCAACGAACTTCCACATCAAGACTGTCGATCTGCTGGCAAAAGCTACGGTCGGACTGAGGAGGCCTCAGAGGACTGGAAGGCGCTTCGCATCTGAAAGTCTCCGCTGCATCTTGGTGCTCGGCAATAGAAGCCCATGACAAAGACAAGCGCGAGCGTCACACGTATGTACTACGATAACATGGACTCGCAGATCCAGTGAACACCGCTCAACTCACGTGTCATAATACTTTCACAATATAGTCACTCATATCGAGTCCCCGAATACAAGAACGTTCCAACCCTTTCCCGTGACGGAAGAGGCATCCAAATTCAAAGATGTGTGTTCACAAGAACCGACGGCCGACGACCCAGTGCATGAAATAGAGAAACTACCACGTGACTCCGGAGAAAACTATCCGTCCACCTTCCATTGGCCACGAAACATTCCAGATACACAGCGTAAGACATCGTCCACGTCGAGCTTGCAAATAGGACCACCATCCAACAACAGCCCTCGTGTGTGGGATGAGAGCGCAGGGAAAAAGAAGGAATATGACAGAACTCAATCAAGTTTCTTTATTCGGGCAGTGCAATTTACGTGTCGTTGGGAGCCAATCGTGAGGATTCTAGTCGATAGTACATGCTTAATCTAGGACGTGTGGTGCAGCACGCAATCAAAGCATAACCTTCGAGCTCACCAGCGAGAGGAAGGATTACCTTGGTGGTTTTAAAGTTTACATTTCTCAAACCTAGTATGTACACGTGAAGGCCCTCTCCTGTTCAATTGGCACCCAAACCTATTCTCCTTGGTGTCGCACACGGCAGCATGGATTTACAGTTGAATTGTGGAGCACATCGAATCTTCACTTCGTCGAACTGTGCTCCTCTCGCCCACATATGATACAAAATTCACTCTCGGTGTAATGGGCCATCGTGACGAGGTGAAGGATCGACTGTCGCCACTTCGTTCCTCGTTGCCAGATGCCGGCGTCCAGCGATTCCAAGGAGACGACTGTTCCTATAGATTTTTGACAGTCGAGGAGTCTCCCCTCGAGAGGAGGAGGCACTCGCCAAGCCGGGCCCGGTCTCCTGGTGAGAGTTAGAAACGCGCGTAGAGAGAGCTGCCACTTCACAGACTGTAGGATCGCCATTGTTGTTGAGGAAACTCGAGCACGAACACCGATTGCGAGCTGTCGAATGCTACTGTCCCGTTGTCACGATACGATGGACTTCGAGCGCCCAGATTGAGTTCTAGCTCCAGCATGTCGTAGGCACTGTGGTTGTCGGAGGCACACAAGTCCGACTGCGGAGACGAGGCGCCTAAATTCCGTTGGGATAAGTTCGAGGCGAAGGATGCCATATCTGCAATCTTCACCTCGTTGACTCGAGGCCACATGGTATTCGACTTCGTGAGACACCGATCCTTGCTGCTTATCAGAGACTCATTCTCCGATATCGGTCTGGAGTATGCAGCCTTCATGGACGCCGCCCTTTGGAGAGATGGCTTCGAGCGCTGGCGCGACGTCGCCGGATCGGGCTGAGGAGACATCTGGAGAGGAGATGAAGGAGATGTGGGGATGGTAAAATTCGTCCGAGCCTTAGCTCCCCGTAACTTACGAGCGGCGGCGTCGTAGGCTCGGGCAGCATCTTCCGGTGTGTCGAAAGTTCCCAGCCAATGCCGGCAACGGCCTATGCGATCACGAATCTCTGCAGACCATCTACCCCACGGTCTTTTCCTCACTCCCCTGAAAACCCTGCCGCTCGTGCCCGTGCCGTCGCCGCTGGTCACTCTCGAATCTGTTGTCGATACGACTTTGCTCTCCACCTCCTCAGCCGCAGACACTGGGATTGCAGGACGAGCCTGCTGCGGCTGCTGAATGCTGTTGTGGGTGACAGTTTGGTGGCAGCCTGGAGTCATGGCAGCCGATACAGGGGGCGACAGCACCGCACTTTCTTTGAGATTACCACCGGTCGGCGGTGATGGTGCTCGAGTCTGCCGAAGCAAGTCGGCCAGATGTATGAAAGCTCCTCCGCAACTGCTGGAGGGTGGGCTGCTGCTGCTGCTGCTTCTGTTGAGCATGGGAATACTTCCAGACGGCGCGAGCGCCGTGGTGAACGCAGCAGTGGCGAAATTGTCGGAGGAATTTGCACCGAAGAGCACTCCCCTCCCGACCACAGCGCCAATCCCTATCATGTCGAGGTCTACTTCCTGTCCGTCGGACCCTCCATCCCTGGTTGACGCAAACGAGTGCTGAAGGGAGGGCATGATACTGGGGAGCGACTTCAGATGGTCCTCCTCGAGCTTTTCCCGTTTAATTGGGCCCGTTTTCTGGTCCGACGTCCCATTCGTGAAAGTCCAAAACTGATCATCGAGTAACGCTGCGTTGTGGGCCGAATCAGATCCTACTGGCGAGGATGAGAATAACGATGTAGGGTTTGCGGACATCGCTAAAGTAGTGCATGCGGGACATATTACTTGCGGAGAGACGGAGGAACACCGGGCGCAAGATCTCCAGCTACGCTCGTCGAGCCAGCTCAGTTCCTGCTTCATCATAGTCTCCGATCTGAAAAAAGGGATGGCGTTGTAACTACTGCTCAAGAGGACATCATGCAAGGCCATGGATACTCCTATCGAAGAAACGACCGAGAGGAGAGTCGCATAGGAACAAGAGCAGTCTCGAGAACTCGATGATCGGGGAGCAGGGAGACAAGACGAATCAGATGCGTATCTGTTCCGTGACAACCAGGAAAGTGGAGGCAGCTGTTGAAAGACTGGGCAGGACAGACGTAAAGGTGAGGTCGCAGTGATCCTGGAGTTTTCGCAGCCCAGTCCTCGCAAAGGTGAAAAGCTAGCAGCGATTAAAAAACCAGTGAGTGAAAGGGGGAGAGATCAGTACGTGGAGGACAGAGAGTTCGAAAAACAGACACGCTGGGGAAATTGCTCCAGTGCTGCTGTAGAAGAGCTGGGAGCTGAAGGGGCAGGCAGGAGAAGAGCAGACTGCCTTGGTAGGCTGACTGGTCGGGTTGGGGTGGGCTGGACTGGGCTGGACTGGCGGGGAGAGACGAAGAGTGGTGAGATGGAGAAGATCACACGCTCCTGTAGATAGATGCAAGACCATCTACCTGTACGTGGGGGGATGCCGAGGAAGAACTGTTGCACTCAGCGCATGGGGTTGAAAGAGGAGAGAGAATGATATATCGAAGGTCGAGAGTCTATAAGAGGCCGAGATTCAAGTGAAGGGCCCCTAGGCCAGGACAACTCGATCGTAGGCAACGCACTGCAACGCACCCCACCTCCATTCCTCCCTCCGTCTACGAGCAGAGCTGCGGGCGATCCGAGCCTCGGTGAGCTCGAGGCTCGTTCGTTCTACGTCTCCGGGTGCAAGTGCTACGCCCGGAGAAAGCCGAATTCCTCACAGATGCCACGGAATTTTCGACGACGCCAACTCTGACCGCCTTGTTCGGAGTCTTTGTGGACGGATGGATAGACAAGCATTGCAGGAAGAGACAGAAGACGCAGCAGCAGTCAGGCGGATGCCATGCCAATTTGCCAAAGCTCACCACCCCTACTCTAGCCCCAGCTCTCATCAGAGTCTCGGGTCTAAGCCTCGTGCCGAAGACGGATACATGTGAACCAGAACTCCTCCTCCTCCTCCGCCCCGCAGGCATGCGTATTTACATACGACCGGACCTGCGCTGTCAGGCAGGGTGCCAGGTAACGAGGGAGCTGCGAGCCCCGGCCAGACCTGCGACTGCTGCCGAGCCCAGCCCGAGCCCACGCTCCAGGCCCAGCGGAGGTGTCAAAAGAGAAAGCGCCAGCCCGACGCCATGCTGCCGTCATGCGCCCTTCTCTCTCTCCCTCTCTCCCTCTCTCCCTCTCTCGCTGCCTTCCCCAGAGTCTGGCAGCGTTGCCAGCGAGCCCGACCTGATTCGCCTGGACGGATCGTTTTCTTCTTCGACGAGGCAAGTCAATGCGATGCGATGCGCAGCCAAGTTCGTTTCTCGTCTCCTCCGATCTCTCGTCGCGGCCCGTCCCGTCCCCTCCCCTCCCGTCTCGTCTGTAAACAGTGGTAATATCTTCCCCACGGGCGCCATCCATCCATCCATGGCAGCAGCGGCGCCAGGGATTTGGACAGGCAGCCTCTTCGCCCTCCCATCACTTTCCTTTCCGACACGCCCATCAGAGGCGGTTAACCGGAGCGGTGCCGGCCGCATCTCCCGCTGACACGCTCTCGGCCAATCGGCGTCGCGCATTGCAAGGCCGGAATAGACGGGAACTGCTCTCGACCTCTTTCTGCACTCACCGGAGTTTGTGTATTTTGCCCTCTTCCTGTTAGTCCCGAATGGGGCACCGACAACGGTCCGGCCGGGTCAGGATAGGGACGGGTCAGCTCCTATACGACCGGCTGGTTCCCGAGAGCTCGTGATGATCTGTAGTCGCTTGTAGACTTGCTACCGAACAAGCGGGTGGATTGAACTTGGCTGCTGCTCCTTTACGAGCTCAAACCAACAATTATTTTTATTCCTTGCGTCCGCTCCTCGCTAAAATCAATTACCTCATCTCTTGGGAGAGAATGGAATGTTTTGCGTGATTTCTTTGCTCGGGTCTCTTTCTTCTGATCTGATGTTATCCTAATTCTGTGTATGAGATGTGATCCACAGATCGATGCCAGTAGGTCGGTGTACAGAATGAACTCATAATTTCAGGTCTAAGTATCACTAGCCGATCAGTCAACGAATTAGTTCGGCTGCTGCCCTTTCGTATGCTTCCTACAGTCCTGATTCTATTACATGAATCGTAGCATGATCAAATTCTATAGCATGATCTTCTCCCTTCTTGACTCCTCCTTTATTCTTTTCGATCATCAATTGTCGTGCGTCGATCGAGCTGGAGGTTGTAAAACATGCAGCTCTTTGTACGTAGCAACCTAGCTTGCTCGATCAAGATTGTGATCAAGGAGATATGGATTGATCTCAGCTCTGCTAGATATGGATGAGAATTACCACTTGACTCGCAACAGACAAATTTGACCAACTTTTGTAGAGATCTAATTTGATTTCTTTACGAGCCTATGTGATTAGACAAAGTGCAGTAATAGAGTTGGGCAATAAGTCGTCACATTGGTTACCATTGAGAACTAAATAATATGATTGCACTTCAGCTCGATTACAAAGCTAGTGCTATCATTGGAAATCACATGGAAGTTGGTGCTATAGTCAGTCTTTCTCCTTCACTTTCTCCTTCACCAGAAGGAACATGACTCACATCCATTCCTGTCTATTCCGGCCTTATGACACCACACGATAAAGAAGCAATGAGAAATTTGTGCGTGAGCAGACGCAACTGAGACTGCATATTGCGGTGCACTTAGTAAGTAACTATCACGTCTAGAGGAGTAAACGAGCAGAGCCAACAGCAATGAGAAGATTTAAAGCCTCTTGCAACTTTACTTTCGCATGCATGCAGCTCTAGGATACGAGAAATAGAATGAGGTCCGAACAGACATCACCAGTCATGGTGTACAATATTTCATCAAGCTAAACAATGATGGTGCAAAACTTATACAAAATTTCATTTTTCATCACAAAACAACATACACTTTCAGCTATAAAAAAATATTGCTTTTAGATACCGATCACATCAAATAAGAACACTAAATCCTTTTAAATCCTGAATATTTGTTGGTATCAAGAGACCTTCTGTGATAGGAACAACCAAGTAACATAGAAAAAAAGAATGCGAAGACCTATCGTGAATGAAAATGAAGAGTCAAGATGGGGCTGCACAAAATAATAGAAATAAAAATATGTAAATCATCTCATCAGATCGAAATATCTACATGTAACTTGGCCTTAGGTCACATAATGTATTTATTTAATACTATGAGATGCATCATCTAGAGAACCATTTACAATTTAGGTATGTTGACTCAAATGTAATAGACAATGAGGGAAACAGTTCGATACTATGCTTTTGTTACCATGGAAGTCTTTCTTTTGTATATACATTTGAAAAATGCCTTGAATATAATTAAAATAAAAGTAAATGTTCCTACCTTTGTAACATTTAAATGAGAATCACACATCCATTTATGATATATGTGATGGAGTGTATCATAAAGTGCATATGAAGTAAATCTGCATATGCAATACTTGTAAGATTTATCTACTTGAAATCCCCATGCAAATCACATGACACTACAAGTTGCATCTAATAGAAAGAATACTATAGAAATAACAATATAAATACTGAAAGGTAACAAATTAAGTATGTCCAATCCCCGAAAAAACTTTCAATTCTTCCAATATGAATTAGATCTTAACTTCAATCTGAAGACATTTTATCTCTTCTCGATCTTTTCACCAGAAGCACAATGGAACGGCTAGAAAGATGGGTTGTAGGATGTTGAGAAATATAGCAAGAATATGGGAAGTTCCATCGAACAGTAAAGGGATGATATATTGCCTAAGCTATTGGAGTAAATATGATAATAATTGAGTGTTTTGTTAAAATTGGGTACAAAATGGAACAAAGCTGCAACATATCTAGTTATACTCCGTCCGTTATATTGTGCTCACCATACATTTTTAATTGAGGGAATCAGAAATCATAATTGCAGGGAGCTTTTTCAAGAACTCGCGAGTTATCTTTTGAGAACAAAAGGGCAATTACAACCTTTGATGAACAAGGGGCGTGGAGTATAGAATGTACATCATAATACGAGACAGGGAACGAGTATGAATTTTTAATAGTCCGATCCTCGACACGCACGAACACTCATATTCAGGTACAAAATTTCGAGAGGTCAAGGATGGCCATCTTTTGACGCACAGAGGTGGAGGAAATGAACGTTGGAAATGATGGAGGAGAGGTGCGTACGGAGGATGCGCGACAGAAAGAGCGAAGAACCTCAAAGATCTAAACATGTACAGAAGTGGGAGAGCCAGAGGAAGGGAACGCGAAAAAGGGAAGCGAAGCAGGCCAAGGACGGACGAACGGTAAATAAAGAAGAAGGAAAGAAATCAGAAGAATTCTGGAGAAGGGGGGCCTCAAGTTCCCACAACTTCAAACGAGTGTAGTACCGTCCTGAAGTGTAAGGAAGAGTTACGGTTAGACGGATCACACATCGACACAAGAACTGTAGGACGACCGGCACGAAGTTCCTTATCGGAGGACAATTTGGAGGATATTCTTCACCTACTGTCCTTCGTGATCCTCGACCAGAGGAGCCGAAGGACTCGAAGGACTTTTCTCTCTCTCTCTCTCTCTCCATCTTTTGCTGCCTCCATGCGCTTTGAATTCTCGGACGTGCCATAGGCCATGCAGACATGGCCGAGACACGGCAGGGAAGGCACCGGTGGAAAGAGCAGCGACCGGATGCAGTAGGTCACATTCTCTGCAACCAATGAGGACCAGGGACCTAGATCTCACTTGCGGATGCGAGCCAGTTAGTTCCGAAGGCCAAAATCATAATGGACGTCAAATATAGTGGAGAATGAGATGCTGAGATTCTTTATTATCGTGCAAGATTATAGTTAACTCAACTCGCATCTGACCGATGGACGAGCACAAGGAGGCTCCACAGAATGTATGATGCCTTTTAATGCACGAGAGCCACTTCTCGCCTGTCCATTAATCTCCCTGCTACCACAGTCTAGAGTTCCGGTTAACTCCGTTCCACTTGCGTCTCCAGATGGCTTGGCTGGCAGGATGCAAGCCCTCGTCTAGGAGCTGGACCACCTTCACGCGGGCTGCTCTCGTGTAAGTGCTCGTAATGAGGAAACGGTACCTCCCCACACCAATTTATTGTTTTTTAACCTCGCGCCCACAGCCGGGGGAACAAGTGGGAACAAGGCGAGAGGCCGTCTCTCGACTCGGTCCGCCCGAGCCTACAACGCAGGCAGTCTATCATCGTTCCTACCTGCGGAGGGCGGTATGTGTACAGATGGGTATGTACTGTACCCGAGGAGCGAGGGGCGAGAGGAAAGGTTAACCTGCTCGAGAAGATTATCATTAGCGACCGATGTGGGACTGATGTGGATTAGGGTTTGGCATGAGTTGGTGCAAAACTTGAGACCATATGGGAAAGCTGTCCACGAAATCAGATTTCCATAATTAGAATGGATTCTTGCACGATAGGAGGCCGAGGTCTGATGATGGAAGATAATTCGAGTAAATGGAAATGATCTGATTTAGAGAGGAGTGATAAGTATGATTACGCGTGCTTTTCCAAACAGTGATCAGGCCATATACAAAAGTTGCTAGAAGCCCAGACCGGACCGGACCATCATAGCGAACAAACCCGTTTCCCGACTCCTTTTTGTTTTGTTCACCTTTCCCAGTAGCACCCATGATCAGGGGAAGATGAGATTCCAGAACGGTGGAAGCAAGTAGCCTCCTCCTCCTCGAGCCTGACATTTCATGTCTTTGTCTAGTCTTCTCAAACATGGTGATGATGCAAGCAAGATCCTAAGATTGTGGAAAATTTCCTCCTTAGGCTTCAAACTTAGGTCTACACCCGAGGACCACTACTGTTGCTTGTCTAGTAGCAGCACAATCTATGATAAAAAATCTCATCATGATCTTGCTTACATCGAACCCAGATCTAGCACCAGAAGACACCAGCTCATATTTCACTAAGTTGTGGTAGTCCATGTCTCATTATGGGATCCATGAACTTCCTTTGCATGTACGCTATTGACCTCTACGACGATGGAAGTGCATACAAAGAATAATGGTTGAAATTTGTGGACCAAGCGTTTGAATCTTCAAGCATGAAACGAGGATGATAAATCTGACATATGCTAAAAAGGATTGGATTTAATCCAGCTGACGTTACTAGTAATCGTGTCAATTGTTATCTGGACACTTGCTGACTTGTGCACCAAACGTAACGGAGTTACAGAAGCCTCAACCTCAAAGCCTCTCTCGGTGCAACGACTAGTTGTTGGTACCTCGTCCCCACCTTAATGACATTAAATAACTTAGGAATCGCAAGCTCACTGCTACATATGATCTCCCTTCTTTTTTTTACATTCACTTTTTCTCTCCCACTTCGATCCTGACAAAGTTAAGTTAAACTTGACTTTGGTTGAATCAGTGCAGAACTAACTGTCATTCGCAGATGATCAGTTCCCATATGTCGCTTTATTCCTTCGCAGCTCAGAAAGGCTCGTCGTGCTCCTCCCTCGCACTCGCTCCCGATTGACTTGCTCTGGAAAGAAATAATCGTTGCATGTGATGCAACCTGTCTAACACTCGATATTTTGTGGTCTCAGCTGTGTATGCATGATTGGAAGCAGTCTTCTCCTCTTGTTCCCCTTCTTTAAAAAGCAGTAGAGTTGGCTGAAGCAGAGTTGAATATCTCTACTCGCAAACTAATGAGACAGCAGATCTTGCATCAGCCATCGGTAAGCACTGATCCTGTGAAACTTGGAGCATATGCAACGTTGTGGCCTTTTCCATGTACTGTAGGCTACAAACATCTCAAGTCCTCATGGTACGTTTCGTCACGACCTACGCAAACATCAAAGCTTGTGTCCAAGAGCTTCTTCATAGATTGTATTTAGCCTCTACCTTGAGACGAGAAGGGTAAAGGCTTATGAAGACCAAAATAAGCCTTTTTCGTCACCCTTGCCCATCAATGTCTCACAGTCCACCACCGCATTGGCTGACCTTCATGGGTCATGCTAGTTAACACGAACATGGTGGGCCGAACGGGAAAATGAAGCTCCACACCACAAACTTCAAGCTAGTTTGTCCCGGCATTGTACAGATCTTTGGCTGTGTGACGTCTTGTCCTTTCTCTGTATACTTTATGGTGGAATTGTGACTCTTTGTCAGTGCTATTATTTGTGTTTCCCTCACTTCTACAAGTAAAGAAAAGCGATCGTATTCTCTGGTGAAGATGGCATGTTCTTCGATACTCTGAATAAGAACCCCAGAGAAATATTTAAATTCTTGTACAATGCTCACATATACTAGAATGGTGTTGAGAGACGTCTGCACTTTCCAGATATGCCATCTGATTTTTAAAACCCGCATCATGAATATATGCAGAGTGCTAAGCTGTATAAACCTTTCCCCCTTCCACGATTGAGGTCTAAATAATAACAGAGTTGTCAAGTCTTCTCACTTATTCCAAAGAGATGAAGTGGCGAGTCAACTTTTTGAACCAAGTTGTTTGATCTGCATTCACAATTGGATGATAAATACTGATCGTCAATATTCAATGGCAAGTGCGATCCGTTTGAACATTGTTCAGTTCTTATTTATTGGTATTTGTGATAGGATATCTTTTCATTGGAGTGTTTATTTTTTTTTACCTTTTAATCATGAAAAGAGATAATTACTTGTTGATCGATTATTTGCAAATTCCAAAATTAGCAAAAAGATATGGAATATGTGATGAGTAGATTCGAATGAATTTTTTTAGAAGATAGAAATAATATGAAACAATGTTTTATCCCATCAGAACCAACATATTATATTTTAAATATTTCTTATGTATTTCTCTAACATAAATGCACTTGATTTGAATAATAGCATAGATTTTCAACATGATTTTTTATTAATTATAGCAATATTTAGCTCACTCGGATTTATGTTGTGAACAAAAATAAGGTACTTCATGTTGTCTTTGTGTAGAATTTTCTACATTTTTATTTTTCAATTCCTCAGCGAAAAATTATAGTATTGATTGACATTTTTATCTACATAATGACAGGTGTATACAAGATAAATTTATCTTTATCATATCATTTTCAATTATATATTAACAACCTGTCACGTGTATCAAGATGGTCATGACAACTTCACATTACAGTCACAGATTAAACAATGTGGCATAATTTACAGTTATCAGATTTTTTATCACACACACATATATATATATATATATATATATATATATAATTCCAGTGAATCTAATTGAAAAAATAACAATGAGTATTGATTGAATGTTGGGTTATGTATATCTCATTCATTAGGTTATTCAAGTGTGATAAATCTAGCATTTTTTCAATTTATATGACAAAAAAATACTTAGAGGAACAATGAGTTTTACATATTTCCATATTTAGAGACAATATAGAATTATGACATAAATCTTGTGAAGATATTCATTAGGGTTGTAATATCTAAACATTCATACGCAGCACAGCTTATGATATAGTATTTTACTAAGATTTTGATCGTACAGAGACGTGATATATGTGTTGAGCAGATTTGATATTAACATTACAAACAAGGTTAGTTTGAAAAAATCAATATTTCCTTCAACCTTTACAAACATTTTGTACGCCCAAAATGTACTTTATGCTGGTCATAATTCGCCACATGAATATGCCAGAATAAATTTTTATACCAAAAGAACGAAAAATTGATAACAGCATCTTATTTATGTGTCTCCAATTAACATAAAATAAATAAATAAGTAAATATATAAATATATTCGTATATTAAAGATTGGGTTGAATACGAAACTCTATTTTTGTATTATTATGATATTTGAAATATATAAAAGTACTTGGAGATTTTTTTTTCTTCAGCATAATAATAAAATCGATAATTATAATTTTTTTTATAAAACTATCAGAATTGCTATACAAGATAGACAACCGTAACATATAGTTGCGATTGTAAGGATTTCAGCTTCTCCAGCTTCATATCTTTCTTTGAGATTTTTATATATGATCTGTTCACTGTTAAGATTAATTCCTTCTTCATAGGAGTAACCGTTTGTCAACTTTCCTCTTTGTGTAGCTGGTAGTGTTGCTTGTGGGTTTGAGTTCTTGTAATTCGAGCCTAGAACCATTTTTATCGCATCAGACCCCGGCATTCTTGCATGAAAATTGATCGAGTTTAGTACTTATTATGCCTGAGACATTTTTCTGCCCTCTAGGCTGCTGTACTGTTCATTTCGGTCTCTATACTCATCGGTGTTCTCTCGTATTCATCAGCAGAGGTATAATGCATGCAGATACATTTCAGTACCTAGCACACAAAGAAGGGAATCCCGGAATCATTCACGAGTGTGTGAGAGGTCCATTGGTGGGCTGGCGAGCCAGACCGGCCACGGCGGTCATCTCACCGGGGAAGGATCGTTCAACAGTTGTAAGAAAGAAGCCCATGCCGGAGTTAAAGCGCGCAGCCGTCCGACGATGGTTGATGCCGACGGTTATCTTAACTGGAGTTACTTACAACATGAGCGCCAGAGAAGGACAGGGGTCGAGCCCAGAGCAGGAGCAGATGTAGCAGACGCAAGAGGACAGGAGTGTCACAGGGATCGCAGGGTTGAATTATCCCTATCCGTGGCACGGAAAAGCGGCGCAACAGTTCTTCGGCCTTCATCGTACGCCGTATGCGAAAGCACATGAGTATGAACTTACTCCGACTGACAGAACTGTTTAGACAGGGTGGATAATAATACGTACCCATACGCTCGCCCCGCTCGTCGGTTAGTTGATGCTACATTGCGAGATCCCGATTCCCGATGCAATGTATCTAATGAATGCGCTCTACGTCGTGAATTCGATTGGTCGGTACGCTTCGATGTCGTCATCATGAAGTCAGGAGCTGGATCTGATTCATGACGGGATCAATGATTTAGCATCACAGCACGAGTACATTGTACAGTACGATACAGAAATCATCTCTGCGGTTGCTCTCCTTCGCATACTACTGTACGTACGCACTCACAAGGAATGGACTCTCGACTTTTGGCGCCCAAACTCTCGCACAAGTCTCGAACTCAAAGGATCCCGTGGAGTGGTTTGGCGGCCGCAGGCGCTGCTGGAAGTCGCAGCGATGCTCGTCCTCTCGCGCAGGGCCGCCTGTTCGCCTCTCCGTCGCAGGATTCGGTCGCGGCGTCCGGAGCCAGAACGAATAGCGTGTGGAGGTCCTCTCGACCGTGCGTTTTGATTCGCTTCGGAGTCCTGAGTCCTCGCGACCTGAAATCTCGTCGCCGGAAGCATCAGTGGAAGCAGTCCCAGGGTGAAGGATGGGATGAGGGAGAAATGAGCAAGATTTGAATGCCAATGATTTGTGACGTGAGGGTGAGGATGAGGGAATTAAATGAGGAATGCTAATCTCCAAGCACTTGATTGAAGGCAAGAGGAGGACCAAGAGCGCAAGAGAGGGGAGGGAGACCGTCTCTTGACGAGATCGTTGCTTTCTATTTCCAGAATAATTGTCCACAGCACACCAACGATTCTTCTTCCCGTCTCCGGGCATCATATGTACACTCGCTCGCTTGGTCGAATAAAAAACTTTATCGAGCATCAAGTTTATCCGGATAACGACTCCACTCCCTCTCTCTCTAGTCCTTCCAATTGTGCTTCAGTGGAAGGGAGAGTTGGAACGTCCTGTCCGCCAGGTGAGGATGGAATCCACGGGAAATGGGAACTGGGGGGTTATGATTGTCACTCGCTGTTTCTCATGGATTTTCAGCCCTCGTCTCCACGACGCATGCGAGTTTATGCGATGCTTACGACCACACTCTCCTCGCGCTTTCGTAGAAACTTCATTCTAAAGCATCAGGAGACACATAAGTTGAGGATATTATTATTGGAATCAATGTCATTGCATCCTCCACGAATGGGTCTCTCCGTTTGAAGACCTTGTTCGATATGCAGATGGAAAAAATATTCCGTTTTACTCACCAAAACACTTCATAATTGTCAAAGGTGAATAAATAAGATGCCGTGCCAATTTTCATTATATCTTAGCCTTCTCTCTAGTTTGCAAGACACAACTTTAAAGATAACTTGCAACCGATGAATGGAAGTGCCGATTCTCGGCTCGCATATGAAATCTCTCCGTGAGGTAGCAGTGCTTGGACCGTTCTGAAATTGCCCGTTGATCCTTGATGCTCACGAAGTTACCTTATTTCGATGCTCGTGACCATCAGGATCCAACACGTGACACGTCGTAGAGTGAGCGACTTGTTCGGTGAAGAATCTTGGAGATGTATGCATGTGATGATTCATTTCCAGATTGAAACGCGACTGCTTTGGCGGACGACTCTTTCGTTTCCCTTTCTGATGGTCAAGACAAGATAGTTGTATACATACGCATTGCTGACAGCTTCTAACAATCATACGGCAATTTGTGGATGCAGATTGAAGAGGACCTAACTCTACGAAATCTGGAAATTGCCATCTGAGGTACGTCAGACGTCGTCGCCCCGGCATGAACATTGACATTGCTGGCCTTTCCTATTTACTCCCAAGATTGTTAGCGCTTTCTGACATCTTCAAGAAGGCTTGAATACTGATGAACATAGTTTTCAGATCATAGGTGACCATCTATCTGAAACCCTCAACGAAAATCGTTAGAACATAAATTTGCTAGGGTTCAAGATTGATTGGAATGTTATCATCACCGTTGCTGACATCAGATTTTTTGACAGACTTCACGTTAGTCGATGCAAAGTATTCTCCTCGCCAGAAAAGAAGCATCCTGAAAAGAAGCATCTCAAGAGTCCCGGAAATAGTATAGCATGATTCATGACTTCCTGGCTCGGACTATAAGCATCCTTCCCTTGGCTCGGACTTGTCAATAATAGTAACGAACTAAATCGAAGATGAAAAGAAACCCCATAACGAAGAGGACGAGCTTGTTAAGGTCATTCTGAACATCCTGAACTCGTATGATTTTTTTAAAAATTTTTAAATACTAAAATTTTTATCGTTTCGGAGGCCTCCAATCTTGCAGGAATGACAACGGACACCGAGGAGATGATTGAGTGTGTCTCGTCAGTGTAGAAAATGTGCTTATAATCTGCCCTCCCTCATGTTCACGTTCAACTCGTACTGAAGCTGGGCATTTAGCCTGTTTTTTTACTTAAATTAAAAAAATAAAAAATAAATTCTCGGGAGTAATGCTTTCTCTTTCGCGGTTATTCACATCAAAAAGTGAAAGGCTTTGCTGTTTCTGTAGAGAGATATTTCTCATCGTGATGCTTATGAGACCTTCCCCTATCCCACTCCCTTGTTTCATCCCATTACGACTTAATGGAGTCTTCATTTCCTTTTCGCTATTCTACTCGCACCAACTCATTTGTCACTGCTCGTCAGGAGTTTGTTCATTGAGTTCACGTGAAATCTGTATCGTAGAAGTTCCTCCTTTGATTCACATCTTGAGAAGACAAAAAACATTTTGATGTGCGAATTTTGTTTTCGAAGAAAGGGCCAGATGCCTACGGAACAGACATTTATGCGATGTTGTAGTGATCAAACCCCAACTACGGCTACGGACAAAACTGAGAATGTACGTGGTTCCCATAAATAACATACGAAAACTTTCTTGAACAAGATCGACAGGTAGAAGAACTGTGAGCCGTCGATCGGCCTAAAATCTGACAAGATACGAGCGTGCGGGATACCTTGAAGCATAAAGAAGCTGATATATCTTAAAGAGGGAGGCCTTTCGAGAAGGGAGAAATGACCACTCAGAATAATTTCGCGTCAAGCATTCATCGTAGAGGATTATGAATGAATATAAATGAACATTCTGTATGATCTCTCGGAGTCAATCTCTCCTAATCTGGATTGTCATGTCTGTCCACCGTAGCGAGTCGCATTCCAATATTCTTAATTGCAATTCTCATCACACTTTCCAAAGCGGTGCTCTGCAATTGGAAATAAAATAAGGCTTTTTCGTTTGAGTCTGCACACTTTGTCATTCATAGACCTGTTGCTCCTCCCTAATCTCAATTAGGTCTGCTGATCATTTTTGTCTTACAACGAAGAAAGAAGATTTTGTTCCTCTACCCCAGATTTTTCTCTCATGATGACTTCTTCATTCTTAGACGTCACCTTAAGTCTGCATTACTATCCCTCATACTAGACCTCTAAGTTCTCATTCCCTTTCCAATCGCCTCGAATGATCCGATTCGTTTGAAGGGGATCACTGATGAAAGGTCGGGAGGGTAGTTAAACTAATAATGAAACCTTTGGAATCAACTCGAGACGAGAGTAGTCTGCTCTCCCAAGAAAGCCGAAGAAATCAGGACTGTGTGGATTTTGACGATTTCATGATGGTTTTCCTTTCGAACTCCCTCTGCTCTTCTTTCGCTTTTTGTCGCTCCACACTTCAAGTGTCATTTGCAAAGAATGTCATCGTCGTGTAGCGGATGTGATTTTACTGCGGTCAGGTTCTGTCGCCAGTGCGGAAACGCCCCTTATTGAAAACCCGAAAATTTCCGTTTTCCTGGGTGGCAACGAGGTGCAGTCGAACTGGGCATCTGCTCCGAGAGTGTGAAGTCCAATGACAGTGAGCTCCTCGACGTCAGTTTGCCAACTGTTCGTGGTAGAAGCTCTACCGAATTGACAGGCCAGATGAGCTCCGGCAAACTGGTGTGCAAGTTCAGAATGTGATGATGTGATTTGGTATTTAAGCACGAGAGCGTCACATGATAGTTGAAAGTTGGGAGGCTTGAGCTTCATGATGATAAGTATTCCGGGGAGGGTCGCATCGCGCTTAGAGCCCAGCGGCCGCGACAGGAGGATATTTTCGATTGTACGGCCTCCTCGATCCGTCCGGGTCCGTCATTGTGTGTCTCTGAGAGAAAACATGGAGATATTTTCCACATCTGAACCCTGACGAGCTTCAGGGCGAAAAGTCATGACGAGAACTAATCGGCCCGCAGTCTGAAGTTCATGCTCCGAGTATTTGACAGCACACCGGATTTCACCTCGGCTCCATGTCCTTGTAGAATCGGATGAGTGACAGTAATTTGGCTAGAAGGTGATGATTTGAAAAAATGTAGGGACCAAGATTTGGTAGTGGGTGGACGAGATATGACGTCTTAAAAATGTATGTGAGAAGGAACAATTCTTCCATCGAAGGAACATGAGCTATGAGCCCTCATGATAATTTCGCAATTCCAAATAGCTTTTGGGGATACATGACACAAAATCTCTGACTAATTCCACTTATGACCTCTTAATCTCAGAGTTATGACCTATAGGGGATAACATCTGGACCCAATCACGCTTTTGTGACGTGAGGACCATGTACTTGAAAATTCCGGGTACACCACCTTTGCCAGCCAATCATCCATATAACAACTGATTATTGGCATGTACAAACACCATACGGTACTGTATTTAACTCCTGGACCAGCTGAGCCCAGCTCACTAGTCAATCTCTCTGCTCCGGTGGGCGGTAGCAATTCCCCCCACCCCTCTCATTCTCTCTCTTGGCAAGGTACATCTTGAAAAGTTCGACTACTCTGATTCATCATGATCATTCATTTGCTTTCGTACTTACGTTCGAAATCTAGCAGCGTCATCGTCCTCGCTCTGCTCCAGGTGAAAACTTGCCTCGACAACGACAGCTTCTTTCAAATTCTCTGGTTGAGGGGCGGTTCATCAAAGCTCGTAGCTAGTTACGCGGAAACGCGTTCCCAAAGAGAGGGCTAACCTTAGTAAGGCTTCGAGCTTAACTCATAATTCCACCTCCGAAGCTGCTCGTAGATCAAAAACCCTAGACAACCCCAATTTTAGCTCTTAGGCGATTGCTAGGATATAGATAGTTGCCCTCATTAGTTCAAATCGAGCACAAAATCTCCTTTATGCACGCACCAACAATAGAACTTTTCGAGAGCTTGAATCTCCGCATAATTTCTCATGACTCGGCACAGTTATGTTTTCATGGATATTGATAGAGAAGTTATTACCGTTCTACTCCAGAGGCAGGGAGGGAGGGAGAGGACGGACCTTAACTGCGCGAACCTTAACAGCACTAAAGAAGGAAAAGGCCACCTCTTTGCATGCACCAGCGCTGCAAGCAAACTTTCGAACCCGGCCTCCAGCAGCTTACTTTACTACGAGCATCACTAAATTTATCAGAGGCTGTAAAATTAGAAGTGTTGGTGTAACTTCTGCTCTTCCGGGAAGGACAGTAGTACTCGACTCAGAATCCAGATGTCTATCTGGTTGATGTCGTCTGCATGATAAATTCTTTTCTTATCCGTAATGACAACGAGAGATGCATGAGATATTCCTGAGGAGTTTGGAAGCGCACATCTTTGACTGCTGTCCAGCCCGCTCAACATTCTCATTCATTCATGCAATCTGTTCGAGAGAGAGAGCGCTTCATTGCAACATTTGTCCACAACAGATGAGACAAACTACTGGAATGAACGCAATAAATTCGAGCATAACTCACCACAACAACATCTTCACAAGATCCTTAAAGTAACCATTTAATAGGGAACGACACCGACCCACTCCTCAGATAACTCAGCTCGCGCAAATCATTACTTATAATTGGTCGTCAAGAGTTTTCAGTTGAAATCTACTAACTTTCTGGCTTTTCCGAAGGGATTACTTCTCTTGGCTGAGATCCGATTTGGTGACCGTGTTATTTGCTTGTTGGAGTTGTGATCACACTGTAAAGCAGCCAGTTTTCATGTTGTGGACAATCAGAGGTAGCTCGAAAAGTTCATGAAGTACAGGGATAGGTGAGGAGAGATAATTGCTTCTTACCACGATTGATTCGTCTCAGATTGTAATCAACACCAAGTTCTTGAATCTGCTCCTTCTGTTTCTTACAATCGAACGCTGAGTGGTATGCAAGACTTGAACTTGTTACATGCAGATTTGGATCACTAGATTCTCCTTCTTCTTTTTCTGGATAACAGTTTTCCTGTGCTCTCCTCCTCAGGAACTCAACACGACATTGGCAATCTACAAAAGGTCTGCATCGAACCAAGTACAGTCATTAACATACTGAAGCAGTGAATACTGCGGTCCACGTGGTAAGAGAATGTAGGATACCTATACTATTAATCGCAAATCATGTAGTGGACCCTAGGACACAAGTTGTCACAGTCCTGTGCTCACTGCAGTTAAAGAAAAAGTGGAGACTCATGGTTTAGAAGGAATGATGGAAAATATTTGAATCGTAAGGCGTTGCAGCCCAAGGGGTAAGATGCCACAGACTTGAAAACTAGGTGAAATTCGTCGAAATTAGTTTGGAGAATGCATGCAAAGGACGACAAATTTGAAAACTGGATTGGTTCAGACGAGTAAAAAGAAAGATACGAAGAAATGAAAGTCAAACTTAGTTTCTGAAATACATCCACTGATAAGCCTCGAGAATGGCACGATCTAATCGTACGCCAGTTAATTTGAGTATTACACAAAGGCGACCAAGGTGCCCTACTTACAGAATAGCACCCATGGATAGCATAGTTCCAGCAAACCCGCTTATAATCTTGGAGAGAAAGTTTTACTTCTACTTAATTAAAACTATATCGTACAAAGTCTAACGTTGGTTTGCAGAATCGTTCTCCTCTTTCTTAATAACTTCGCACCCCTTCTCAAAATGCTTTTAGAAAGAAATGTAGCAAAAAATTTAACATTAGCAGGTTTCAAAGCAAAGCATGAATTGCAAATCAGTCTTTCTTTTAAAGGTTACCTAGTTAATTCTTTAATGTGGTACACTTTGTTGATGTTATCTAGTGTTCGCGGCATCTATCTTGGTGATATGCCAATATACAGTTTTTCTTTCAGGATTACCCTGCATTTCTAGGATTGATAATTATGGACTTAAGACTTCCATTTTCCCATATTTTTATTGTGAGTTAAAGTGATCCTCACTGAGTTACTACGGGTCAAACTTCATCCAAATTGTAGTAGGATACAGGGCAAAAAATTTTGTAAAATAAAGAAAGATAATTCAAGGCAAGAAGGAAGTAACTTCTTATTGAGCGTTTATTTTTTTCGGTTGTAATGGACCTAGATTTACTAGTTTCAAAATTTCAGTGTAGTATCAAAGATTTGAATACTAAACCACACCTGAGTTCCAAGTTTTATACACAAACTATGTTTTATTAACTTACAACGGTCTGAACTTCTCATACGCCAAATATGTGAGATTTTTGGAAGAAGTGACATATTTGTGAAATTTCAGTGTCAGTAAGTCTCACATTCGCATGAATAGATCATCTCTCCTCAAGATTTTCCTTTTATAAATACACAAGATAAAGAAATGAAGAACCTCTCAGTATGTATTTGTTAAGCTTAGATCATATTTCAACGCTTATTGCTAACATCATGAAATAATACGAAATTAGTATGTATTTGTAAATCCTAGATTCTCTTTCATTGCTAATCGCTAACGTACTGAAACAGTACAAAACAAACATGGGCGCTGCACACATAATGTCATTTGTTAAATAATAACAAATAACAATAACAGATAATTAAGTAGATTTCGTCACTATGTAACTATAATACTTTGCGTTGTTTCTAGTATAGAGACTTATTAGCATCTTTCATTCACGTATCAATCAGCATTATACAAATTTCTGTTGTCCAATCGTTTCTAGTTGTGATTTGTATGACAGGTGAAATGCAAAAGTTTAATCAGACACAACCATGCAAATTCAAACACCACTCTCTCTGACTCGCACCGGAATTCACTTCTCACAACGCTATGAACCTGCAATCGAGGAATTGGAAAAACTTCCAACTAGAAACCACTAAAGAGATATGTGCTTGATTGGCCAACCGCGACCACAACGAAGATGTAAACTTGGACTACGACTGCCACTTAATTTGTTTTTTACTTGAATTCTGGTCGTCAACCACTCTTGAAGGGCTCGCAACCTGATTGTCACTCACGCCGACGAGCACTCGAACTCATTCATATGCTGCCACTTTCAAAGGTCTATGCCCGTCTATCATTAGATCTTATTCACTTGCTGTTTGACACTCTCCCTACGTGTTTTCTTCTTTCCAACTTCGTTGTGCGTCTATCTCAATGTCGCACTACCCTTTTGATTCTTTTTTATCTATATTCACAATATTAAAAATTCTCAGTAGAATTAATATAATAATAACGTAGATAATGTTATGAGAATGTACATCCACAAAAATATGAGAATTATTTTTTTAAACTCCTTCTTTCACGAAGAACTCATGTTAATTTTCTTATAGCCAAAGTACCCGTCGTCAACAAATTACAGTTGAAAAGCATTTGAATCAATTCATTATCATTTAATCCTCACATCATTACTGATGATGCTGAATGTTTGTCATAGAACATAAAAATTTCATGACAGAAGTAAATAGTTGAAGATTATTAAAAAACTATTTTTTTAAATTTTTTACTGTTTGATGTACCACATTTTATGCAGTTTGTGGTAAATATCATGTCCATGTATTGATATAAAATATCAACTATCCAAATTCTGTTCTGCTTTGAACAATATTCATTGTATGTACGATTATCATTTGTAACGAATAAAAACATTTATTGCTCATAAACAAATATAAATTGATAGGTTCACAAATAATACTAAACTTTGCTCAAAGCTGATTACTTTTTTTGTTTTTAAAAAAAAATTTAAGCTCATGAAAAGTATTTGGATATTATTGGTGTAATCTTAATCAAACAGTTCCTTAAATCGCAACATTGATGCAGGCACGGTGTTTTGTTCTCATCAAATACTTGAGAAAAAGTCAATAAAGATTTATCAGAGATGAAGAGTTTGATGGTATCTCAAATAAAATCTTCAAAATATAGAAAATCACATGTTGAGATGGTTGTGGAGAATCCTTAGTCCTGCGGCTTGGCAGACCTATGCAAACAGTCTGTGAGTTGTGTCTTTTCGGAGATTAGACCTACGATATTGTGTGTAGCCTTGGATATCATCCGTGTGCAGAATCTCATGCTATCCTATATTCACTCAGTTCTTGTTGTGAGGCCTGAAGACATTGAGCTACGTCTCCTGTAATCTCAGGTCTTTACCAGGCCTGCGAGACCCCATACGTTGACCATGCTCATGGCTGCGAGAACAGTTTTATCCGATCTCGTGACATCTACGTTAGGCATAATAATACGACGTGTTGCTTCACAATTAGAAAGCAGAATCGATGAACAGTACACCATTCCAGCAAGTATTATTCGTGTCAACAGGCTTTCTGTTGGAAGGAAAAGGACCAGAGACTATAAGAGCAGAAACTACAAACAGAAGTGCCTCTTCTGTTTCATGCACGAGGCCAGCTTGGTCAAACGACTTTCTGCTTGAGCAACCTACAATTTGATGCTTGAATGCATTAAGTCAAGAAGCAGAGTTGGCCGAAGGCCAACTCTGCTTCCTGGTGTAATCTGTTACAAAGTGGAAAGTTCCCAGAAACATAAGAGCGATTTCATCTTTCACTAAACGATGCTTCTGGGCCAAATCTCGATCTCACCCGGAATGTGAAGAAAGAAGAGGGAGCGTTGAACGACGACTCATGCAAGGGACTGAGATCATATTACACATATTCTCTTAAGGTTGAAACAAATTTCCTGACAAGACTGGATGACGTTGACTGAAGAAACACTCAGTTCATAAGTCAACAAAGATTATGATCTATGGAGTGTAAATTTAGACCTCGTAGCCAGGATTGACCAACTGCTGTACGTCTCCATAGCTTTCAAGTTCTAAGATATCATCAGGACTTCCGAGAAAGAGTGGCAGTCGCTCATGCAGCTTCGTTGGCTCTATGTCCAATATTCTTCTCTTCCCGTCTGAGCCCTTGCCTTGGGCCTGCTCCACAAGATAGCTCAATGGATTTGCTTCATACACAAGTCTTAGATGACTGCGAGGGTTCATGGCGATCCCACCGTACAGAATAGTGCGATGAAGGTCTGCGACTAAGGAACATATGTAACGAGCTGAATACTTCTTGGGATACTGACCTTTACCTTGCCTGATGTCATCAATGTAGCGCCTAAGACCAGCCGGCCAGTCATAATATCTGGCATCGTTTACAGAGTAAATCTGACCTGTGAAGAGCCCGAAAACAAGCAGTTGGAGTAACTGCGGCATAGGAAGCCACCATACTAAATCACGTTCAAACATGACGTTCAGAGTAGTTCTGAATAACGAGCAAGGTAGCAAACAACACCTAACGAATGCAAGAGCTGTCAAGATACTCGAGCACTGCTGATCTTTTTTTAAGCTATCTAGATTGCGGCAAGAAAACTGCGAATCTGTCAACTTGCAAGTGATGGAGAATCTAGTATCATGTGAAAACAGCAGATCCACGTTCTACCTGTGTGCTGTGGGTGGTTTTGGCTGCTTGAAGCGTAAGGCGTTTTTTCAATTCAGTTGGAAACTCAGGAACAAGCTTACAAACGACGAAATGTACAACTCGAGTGTACCTCTTTTCGGGATGTGTAGATTGGGATGAGTGAGCACAAACTCGCCAAAAGATGTATCCAAAGTGAATCCATGGCAGCCAGATCCCACCGTCAAGCATAACATTGTAGCTGAAGAATACAGAGCATAGCCTGAAGCCAAAAGTTTTGAACCAGGTTGAAGAACATTCCTTGATGCCTTCTCTTCCTCTGGTAAACCTTCTGCTTCTGGGATGCTCTTATAAATACCGAAGATCGTTCCTGTAGAATGAACTGTTAGTTCCGTGAAGCTCAGGTATTTTTCATAAAACTATTTCATTACACAGAGTATATCAGATATGGTTCTGTCAAGAACGAAAAATACAGATGCACCATAACGTCAGCTCAGTCAAGCAGCATGTTCCAAGCTTTCAGGGCAGTGCCTTGTACTTCTTGATTTCCCTTAGTGATGATTTTCCATCGATTTTTACATCCATATGGCCCCTTTCATTTCTCATAATGTGAGAGTTTATAAAATCTTCAGCTTTTAGACCCCGCGTACTACAAGTACTAGAAGAACGTACATTCGTTATTGACACTATTTGCAGAGTTAGGGAACTTGATGTTGTACACTGAGGTCAAATCCGTATCCCACCTGTCGGAATAGACGCGTCAATGTTGCGAGAACCGTCCAAGGGGTCAAAAACAACCACATACTGACCATCCCCGAACCACACAGCTGAATCCTCCTCCTCAGAAGCCAGAGCTGCTACATTTCCACTCCTCTTCAAAGCTGCTTTGATTATATCGTTCTGTCTGCCAGACACTTGTCACTTGTATCATGGAAAGGACAGTGATCGTGAAATATGCAAGTAAAAGACTCTAATAATAAACTTCAATGCCTTCGAAATTCATGTCTCTCAACCTAGTACATTATTCTTGATTGGAAGAATAGGATACCATAGATATTATCGTTATTAGCATGATTACGAGAAAACAATAAAATTTCATTCTTGATCACTTTCAACATACCGAGACAATGTCCAAGGGCTTGGGGACATCTCTTGCAGCAGTTGTAGCCCCGATGGAGTCCTTCATGGAGGATGTCACCTGCAGTGCTGCTGGTGAGGCAAGAAGGGCGGCAATGCGTTTACAGGCCGCCTGCAGGTGCATTAGCACGACTGCGAGCCCGTCATCCAAAGCTCCTTCCCTTCGGCTCAAAAAGTCTATCAATGTGGCAGCCTCCTCTTCAACCGTCACAGGTGCAGCCAATTCCACGCTCGTTCCAGAGGAAACAGAATTCGCCATGGCTGTTATCCGACGGGCTTGTACCAAATTGGCAGTCCAAGGGACGGAACGAGCAGGCGGGGATACACTTCGGCTGACAGGAATTCTCAACGAGTACTTCGGGCGATTGAAGACGGAAGAGACTCTTCCTTGCCCGAGGCTCAGGCTGCAGCTGAGCATATTGTCACCGCAGAATCTACGATAAAATTCTGCCAAAAAGAAATAGTTGGGAACTCGGTGTAATTCACTGCAATTGGTGTTGTATCGGTAGATGGCCAGGATACGAGCAACTGAGTTCCCGATAGTGAGGGAGTTCACGTAGATTTCAGAGGAGGGCGAAGCCACAGAACAAGTAGGAGCTCCCCACGTGTCTTCTTGAACTCATGGCCACAGCTTTTGCGAGACCGGTCACGAAATGAACACTACAGTATTGCTTTACGCCAGAAATAAACATTGTGTTAGTTCACAAGGGGCTTTGATTCCTTCGAAATTACTACATTGAGATGGACGAACTAGCGCGTCCCCTTACTACTCATTTGCCGGTGAATCGAGTAGCTGCTTTGAACGCCCTATCCTTCTCCCGCCAAAAAAAAAAAAACTCTATCTCAGTTGGTTGGAAGGCAACCCGCGTACTTGCGTTCTCTCCTACTAGCCTCTTAAAGCGTCTTTAACTATACTAGTCTCTCAGCCGTTGCAATTGCAATACGCATTCTGCGTGTGTTACGTCCGATTCATACAATAGCTAGTACGAGAAATCGATGAGTAGATGCTTTGGATTGAGCGGATATCGATACATTTCTTCAAATTGTCATAAGTTTTGTGGGTGCTGAAAATTATTCCTCTTTTTACGATGTTGGACACTCGACAGACTTATAACTGTAAGATATTTGATACGTTGGAAAACTGCTAGTTCGAGTTCAGGGCATGAAGGCGATAGGCGTAGGGTAACTTCGTAAAGTAAATCAGATAAAAAGTGTCATATTTCATGAAGTGAGGCTCCTCGAGGTTTTAGAACCAAATGCCTGATTATTCGAGAGAAACAACAAACGAAAGATCAGGATATCGCTGACCTGGGAGATCGCAGCTCACATTTACTGTTCGCAGTCTTCCCGAATAGAAGATAGTTACCAGGTTTCGAAGGACAGGGAGGCTGAACATGACAGTGAGGCTTGCATATGGCGTACTTGAATAGTGGTGAGACGAGAAAAACAAATCAAACTGGTTGGGCTAAAAAAGCTGGAACTGTGTCCAGCAGGAACAAAAATTCACGTCAAAGTCAATTCATGCATGGACCTCCATGTCTATAGAATTCAAACCGACAGAAAGAAACTTCACCCGAATAAGTAACAACGCTCTAGCGTTGTTACATCATAACTGGCTTCAGGTATCATCTCAACCACTGACTAATTCTAGAAACAAAATAGGTTCGGCGAGTACAATTTCCGGTGACTCTGGTTTCTACTACTGATACATGAGTCGACTGATAGCTGTTGTTTCATAGGTTCTAACTAGTGTTGGGCTATAGAAATGAGATTAATATACATTATGAACTCGTGTTCAGCAACTATATGCTTCCAAGGCGGGCCTAGTTGTGGTCATTTCCTTCCTGCTGTGTTTAGCATTCTTTCCCGACCAAAAATTAAATCCGTACAGCTTTGCTTGCAGCCCACTCTCGGACGTAGAGATACGATTCAAGAGTGGATTCCAACAGCTACATCCTCGAGCATACATCTATCTATTCGCAAGTGTTGCCCAGCTTCTACAATTCAGAAGTGTTTGACACCCCGTAATCTTCCGATATTCCGATGTACTATTGAGGTTCATATCTCAAACCTGCAATAGGTTACAATATCCTCCTGACTGATTGTGTGCTCACGTTGGTGTTAGTTGGCCAAGGCCAGACGCAAGAGCCAGAGCTGAAAGTTGTAAGAGCGTTGCAGGTTCTGGTACCATTCGCTGCCTCCCAACGGTGGGTAAAATTTTCGAAGACAGGAGCTCGCCATGTCGAGCAGAACTGACAGGTACAGAAAAACAAGTGTAATAGAAGTTTGCACAAACTAGAAAATGGTAAGGCAAACAAACATGGAAATCAAGTTCAGGACAAGACGAAGCCCCATTAGAGGCAACGAAATTAGTGAGAAATGAGGAGGTACCTTTGACATCAATGCACTACAGGTTTCAAAGGATGGGCACGAAGGGAACTTAAATCAAGATTCGAGTCCAACTCTTCATCTAGCTCTCCAACAACTCCACTGCACAAATGTACAACATAGATGAGCCATCCGCTCGACAGCCTCGTCAAGTAACAAACTGAAGATAACCAACAACCAAGCACTCACATGTTATCTCCACGGATTATATAAAGTCCAAGCACCAACTGCTCCACTCCAGCCTGCAGAAATAAGGTCCTTGTTAACAATATTTTCAGAAATGATGAAAACGTAGGTACATACCACATTCATTTCACATATTCACTGATTAGTGATAATGGCTACATCTACTATATGTATCCATCTAACACAGCAAGGAGAGAAACACTGAGGTACTTTCCAAAAGAGTGATTCAGAGATTCAATTATCGCTGAAATAGATTAAGACAAGTCGACAGCAGCATGGAATATCAATACAGCAACTCATATTCTGCACCTTCGTAGAATAAACGCGTTCATGAGACTCGTCGAGTATGAGATTGGTGGCCTGATCGAAACCCCTGAGAACACCCTGGAGGCAGACACGCAATTGTTTCGTGAAAACTCGTCGCTCAAATCAACCAGACATGAATACTTGGATGTAAATATATAACTCCGTAGACGAAAGTAGACCCAGGACCCATAAGAGGATCTTCAGGAAGCAATGACCTAATAATTTCGTACCATTGCCATTATATCCTGCAAAAACTGCTCTGCAGAAAATTCTTGAAAGATAGAAATGACTGACCACAATGTTGCGACCGTCGTTGGTGATTACGGATATGGTTTCTGCTCCAGTCGCGAATGCCAAGATTCATGAACAATATGTAAGAGACTATGAGAATTCATTTTTCTGGTAAGTATGCTTAAAGGCACGCTAATAGACGCAAGGAGCCGAAACCTCACCATTGTGCTCCACTGAACTGGACTACAGGATAAAAAGATTCAAGAGAACCAACCATCCGGAAACAACAGTGTGAAGTACTAGGGTGAAGTCCTCAAGTAAGTTCCGCGCATGACAAAATACGCGATCTTTAACACCTAACTGCTAGAAATGTCCTCTACAATGTTGCTCGACGCCTTCTTCACTGAAGGTAAAGAATCTCAATCTACTTCTACCCCTATCAAAGCACTTCAATTTTCACGAAATCCATCCACTTGTCGCATTCCCCAGAAATCAAGAGGCCAGAGTTTACTTTAGAGCTAGTCCCAAATCAAGAATTCGCCTATGATGATCAAATTCGAGCATTCCACCCAAAAAAAAGAACCTGACACTGGAAGCTAGCAGCATTGCCTGGCATTCTGTCGAAAAATGAATTCTCTAAGGCCGGCGAGGTCCTAACTGCAAACGCTCTACAATCAAAATCGTGCGAGGTATTGCACGCAAAAACTACAAGCGCTCTGTACACTTCCCTTCCGCGAAGATGAGGGAATCTCAAACAACAGCAACAGAAGTGAAGGGCCGAATCCACTCACGATCAATCAGTGACTCGAGTCCGCTATCGGAGGCCATGTCTTTCAGAGGCGTCGAGCAAAGTAAGCGCGAGCACTGCTGAACAGATCACGCATGTAACGACAGCCAACTCCGACGCTGTACTGTGCACAAGCTGCAGCTTCAAAACCAAGTGGACGGGCGAGTGAATTTCTTGATCACGAGGCGTTTCGTTTGTGAATTGACCGCATCTTTTGCGTTCAAACTAAAACCCAAAACCCGCGACCGTGAATGCAACCCAGCCTTCTTTTCCGGGAGCGAATTAGGTCTATTTTCTCGTTGCTTCTTGACGACTATTAGCCAAATGTAGGGCTTCTATTTCGCATACCTGACCTCTCCTTGTACCCCAGATTTGTGTTACACCTCTACCATATCTGATGAGTCTCACACGGCGCCAGCTTCAGACGCGGCAGAGAATTCGAACTCGCACACTTTCAAAGACTTTTGCCCGCAGTTTCGGGCTTACTATGACGGCGCCTTTCCTGAGGCGTAGTTCTCGACAGCCGTCACGTACTGCATACGTACGGTAAGTGCTAGCTTGCAACAAAAATCTTTTGTGGCATCTCGATTGAAGTCAGAACACAAACGACGCGTTTGTTCGTCTGACAAAAGGACTGGGATAAACCCTTCCTATTTGTACTGGTATGACTTCCAATCCCACATTTATGCATAAAAGTGGGACCGAGAAATGTATTGCGAGCAACCAACAAAGTTCAAGTACGCTGATAGATTAAGTAACATTCAATTTCAACACAGCGAAATATAGATATTCATGAAATGGACATTACCTTTTCACTTTATTTTGGTCTTTTTTATTCTTCTTATGCAATAAATTAGAAATGTGTTCCAAAGAAAACAGTAAGAAATAAATACTCTTGAAACGGTCAGTTCCTTGTGTGACCATCACATATTTAACTTTGCTTAGGTTATTTAACTTTTCTTAGGCAATAGACTCAAAATATATACTAAACAAAATATCAAAGAGTTGAAGACATCAGCTTTGATTCGTTAGTTTATCAACTTTTAAATCTCTCCAATTGGATTTGAATTTTGTACATCCATCTGCTTTTCATCTAACCTAACTAAATATTCATATATGTAATTAGATTAATCAGTGGAGTGCAAGGGAGGTTAGTATGATGCGATCAGTATATAGTGTTTGCAGTAGACTGCATATTCTACACATATGGAGTGTGGTTATTGCGATCTCAATAATATTATGTATATTTAATTTGAGATTAAAAAATTAATAATGATGATATTATTGGTACAAATTTTAACGTTTGAATTCAATTCTTGGACTTTGATTCAAAATTGTATCTTTAATTATTGATTATAAGATCTTTCATTCATTATGATGTAAGCATGTTTTATTAAACATAACTCCATGATGCAATCTATATGAGTTTTATATATAGATATTTATATAAATCTTATTTGGTACAGATTTTAAGTTTTTTTGAGATGAGATCTTGTAATTTGTAATTCTTAAAAAATTCAATTTTTTTAATTCTTTTGAAAATTGTTCTTCATAATTATTTTTAATGAATATAAAGTAAAAGCAATATTCAAAAAATTATGTAAGAAAACTGTTAATACAGTGAAATATCTAGAATGTATGAATAATAAATTAATTGTGAATGTATTTCATAATTTACTGTATAAATATGACTTTAAGATATATCAGTTATAAGATATCAATATATATTATGTAATGTAAATTCATAGTCATTTAAATAGTTTTTATCTAATTATTTATTCTATATGAAATTATATTTTGATCAAAATATTTAAATTAAAAAAATAATTTATTTATATAAAAAATAGAATAATGAATATTTATGATACGTTGTTATTTTAAATATAATCTAATCTGATGAGATGTGGAACAATGAAAAATTTTTACATATTTAATATAAAATCTCATCCTTAAAAATTTTTAAACATCTAAATTTGATTATAAATTATTCATAAAAAAATATTAAAAATTAAAATTTTCAAATACACAAAAAATATAGAAAATTTTCTTTATTTTTAAAAATGATATGAAACTGATAAAAGATTAAATTTAAATTTCTCATCGTAAAATTTTGAGATTTATGTATTATAACAATTACAATGCTCAAATTATCAAGATCTACCATAAATAACTAATAAAATCATCTTGAATCACATAATTTAACATATTTGTGATCTCTATGTAGCAAAATAAACATAAATTTTATAATAACTCACATAAAAAATTGCAAAAATGAATTTTTTTTGGAAGTATTGTTAATTTTATTTTATAATACGACACACTTTTGTGCAATCTTTCATGAACATGTTACAATCAACATTCATACTTTTAGTTTTTAAATTTATGCTGAATTAGAAAAAAATTAATGTGTTATACTGTAATATAAGAGTTTGATTAACATAATCACAAAAAATTTTGAATTATCACTAACTTTGGGATTTTTCTAAGTTATATGATAACTAAATATCATAGTTGCAATTTTAAATTTATCTATTCAAGATAGGTAGAAAATTTCGATTAAAAACAATACATATCATAATCTATCTTGGTGAGATACATATTTGTAAATATCATCAAAATTAAAGATATTATGTTCACTCGATTAAAATATTTATATATGTCATCCAAATAAATAAACATAAATTTATATATCCTAATATCGGTGTTAGTTTCACATGATGATCTCATTCTCACGTGATATAATTGTCTTTACTTTTTTAATAACCATCTAATTTAATCTCTGTGTAATTTAAAATTGTACTACATCTATACAGATATTCAAATAAACTTTCAAATTCAAACAAATATTCATCGTTGTAATGAAAACAGTGTTACAAGCGAAAAAAATTTAACCAAAAATAGTAACCAAAAGTTTTACATACTTTGTAAAACAAAAATGCACATTACTTTTTATGTTTCATCAAATGATTTTAAAAAAATGAATTTTTTTGGATAAAATTATTGATGTAAAATATTATATATAACATAAGAGTTTTATGTAATATATACTTATTCAAATTATATTTGTAAATTTAAATTTAGATCTCTTTATTCTAATAAGACAAGATGATATAAAAATATTCATATTGATTAATTGAAAAAATATTTTAAATGTGTTATATATTTTATTGATAATGACAATAATTATTAATAATTTCAGAATCAAATTTCATATGAAAATTAAAATTCTTATATTAAAATAAACACGTGATGACAATTAAATCACAATCAGATAAAAAAAGTCTTATAAATTTTTAATAAAATTATTTTAATTGAATATCTGATCATCAAATTGAGGATATGAAAGTTGAACATGCTCTTAATAATTAATCAAATGTATGAAATGTATATATTTTGTTGTAATTGATTTTATAATATAAAATATAACTAATTGAAATATAAATATTAATCAATTGCAGAAAATTCATAGACTATTATCAATATTGTTAGAATAAAATATTTTTTGATTTAAATTTACTAAATTAATGCATTTTTTGAAATATTTTTCTTCAATACATTTGAAAAAAAAACTTAACCTTTGAATTAACAAAATGCATTGTTTAGATTATTATTTGATATTATTAAGTTTAACTCAAGATTCAAGTTCAACTCAAGTTAATCTACTTTGAGTTAGTTTTAGGGTTAATTGATCTTTTAGGATTAATACTAGAATTTCAATGATCATATATATATATATATACATATATATATATATAAAAGGTCAAAATTTATCTCACCGTGAACAACAAAACAAAAGTGTTAATTGTTGGAGTAAAAAATTGTTTATTCTCGTGGACGTAATTCAAGCTTGGATGAATTACGTATTTGTCTATGTGACGATCTTGCTCGTGTCGTCAATTTATCTCGTTGTGAATTCTTGTCTTTTGGTATTTTCTTGTTTCAATTCTTGGTGTTTCCTTAGCAAGTGGTATCAAAACAAAGATGAAGCAATGGGGTGTGAGGAGGGGAAGAAGAAGGAGGTACTCCAACCTTCTGGCTGATTTTCACTAAAGTTTACCTCAGATGGCTTTGCGATAGCTCATCATGGTTCTAAGAAACTAGGATTATCCCTCATGTCCATGTCCTAAACACCCTTTCACGCAATACCTTAATTTATCACTCCAATTCACATACAAACATCGACATTCAAAGATAATGAAAATCGTCACTCTTTCATATATGAAACAAGTCTTTAAACATGAACTCTTCAAACTTGCTTGAGAGTATCTTCCCTACCTCTCTATATGTATAACTTAAAAATTTACCATAGTATAAAATGGTAATTATTATCTAACTTACTTTAATAAAGATGAACCATGGTAAGTTTGACTAGTTATCAATATGTGGCAACATGCCATTGATTTCCTAAGCTTTCTAAATATTTAGTAATCTCTAGATGGAGGTGGCGACATGCCATTGGTGATTTTCAACTTCTAGAACCTCCAATTGCCACTAAGTCAACATTAAACTTACTCTAATCAATGAAGTACTCATTACTTAGTCAAACTAATCAAAACTAAACATGAAGTCAAAAGTATTTTCTCTTGGAATCTAGATGTTTGTACAAAACAAAATAGAAATACTCACTCACATCTTCTAGAATTTCTCTAGTTATTCTGTCAAGTATGGACATTATATCTAAACATATTTAAAACTTGAGAAACTTAGTTATAACTAGCTAGACTTAGTCAAAACTAAACTAAATATGATTAAATCCTTGGCTACTTCTAGTTCTATTTTACACATATAACAACCGGTCTTGTAGAACGCTGAGAATGAGAGTACAATGAGAAGCATTGCATGCCGTGTCCGGATCCTAAAGCTCAAAGCTCAGACAGAGTCAACTCGAAAGCCTGTTGTTAGATGGGAGAGATAACAAGTGCAAATGGTAGCAATTTGACCAATCCACTCTCAATAGTTGGCGCTTCAATGATCTTTGTGGTCAAATTCTATTGACAATTTCAGCGATTCAAATATAGTTGTGTTGATTGTTATTAATTTGACAGATTGTGAGCTTCGTCAACAACCATCTAATCGAAAGAAGAACGCTTTCAACGATGAGGCGGGGTGGGGTGGTCTTTGAGGTCGATATGTCCGTGCATTGTTGTAATCATCTTTAGTTGATTAGTTTAAAGTGAAGATTAATCAAAATATTTATGTAGTTAATGTAGCGCGCACTTGTCATGGTTGTCATGTCAACGATCCACGTGCTTGGTAGGTAGAGATTAAGTGTGTTAGTTGGAAACGTCACGTCAGCAATGTGTGTGCTTGTTAGATAAGTATTGAGGGTATCAGTTAGTGTGTTAGTTGGAACCGCCACGTCAGCGATCTATGTGCTTGTGTAACCATCTTTAGTTAGTTAGAATTAAAGTAGAGGTTACTCTAAATATTGATGTACATACTTTAGTGTGCACTAGAGCTAGCTGCCATGTCAGCAATCCGCGCACTTGGTAGGTACACAGTGGATGTGTTAGTTGACAGTGCCACGTCAGCAATCCGTGTGCTTATAGGTAAGG